CTTTCTAGTTATTCAGCTCTCTGAAGGTGAATGGAAATATGAAATCAATGTTCTGGTTGGTTTTGCCTTCAGCCCAGTCCAGAGTGAACTTCTGTGTTAACAGTGTTTTCCCAATGCCAGCCACGCCCATGGTCATCACTGTCCTGATTGGTTGATCACTTCCAGGTGGGACTTTAAAGATGTCTTCTCGTCTGACTGTTTCTTGTTTCCTGCATGCTGTTTCAATCTGTCTGAACTCATGTTCATCATTGACCCCTGTAGTTAACCCCTTTGTGATGTGGAGCTCTGTGTAGATCTGGTTCAGTAGGGTTTCATTTCCATGTTCAGCGATGCCTTCACAAAGACTTTGGAAAGTCCTTTTCACAAACTTTTTAAGCTGCTGTTGACACTGAAAATAAAAATCTGAAAAAAAGACACAATTCAGCTAAATATAGAGAATTCAATTATTTTTGATTTGCATAAAAACTTTCATGAATAAGTAAAATCAATAAATTCATAAAAAAAATGCTCTAATCCAACTTCAGTCTGTGAGGAGGGAGAAAATGTGAGACTTTTGAACGGACTGATTGGTGCTCTGTTTGGGGACATTTCAGCATATCACCATGCCGGGGTAGTTGAATACACAGAGCCTTTGTGTCACTTTGATGTCATTGAAATGATCACAGAGAAGAGTTTCTGTGGACCACCTCACTTCAATGAACGTTCAGAGATTTCCAACTGAGTCCAGGTCACATTGTTCTGGTCTGTCATCATGGTGACTCAGACTCATGTTGTCTCATCATGTCAAGGTTCAGGTAGAAAGTGACTGGACGTTGCTCAACATCAGGAGAAAAAATTCTGGTTAATTTGTTCATTTTTAATCAAGAAAATAATAATTTTTATTATTTTCTTGTGTATTTGCTGCTGTATTCATATTCAGTGGTACGACGTGATAATGTCTCTCACTGTGTATCAGTCCTGATATACAGATGCATGTTCCACTGCTCTGAGGAACAATGCTAAACATGCTAAACGCCACAAGATGCCACCAAACATCAGAGACCAGTTTTTGAAGATGGGATCTGAACAGGAAATGTTCCATGAGCATGAAGTGGTTTATTCTGAGGCTGTGAATTTGTTAAGTTTACCTGTGTGAAGTAAACAGAGAGGCTCAGATTTGAAGCAAAGACAGTAGCGGTTGAGCTACAAAAGTAGCTTTAATGAAGTGTTTGTTCACCTTTAGCAGGGGAAACCCCCAGCTGCTTGGACAGGGTAGGATCTATCTTGTGAAGATGCTGGATCATTATTTCACTGGCTCTCTGTCCTTTCATCCTCACAGCGTCAATGGTCTCCCGGGCCTTGTTTGCTGTTATTTGGTTCCCTTCAAGTATTGCCCGTCTTTCCGAAAGATTAAAGACACCGTCTGTTTCCAGGTCATCGAGGAGCTGAATCAGGATTTCCTCAGAAACTCTCTTCACAAACTCACTGCGAACTTTGAAAAGGTTTTCCTCTGCAGGCAGAAATTAGAAAAAAACATGATGAAGATCAACTATTCATGCTGCTCCATCCAGAGATTCCCCTCAGTGTGTTGATCAGCTCCTCAGGTCTGAACCTGCTGTTGTGTTTCTGCCTCATATCAGAGTGACGACCACTGATTCTGTCTACATGAGAACAAATGAAGCTTCTGGTTCATCACTTTGTTTCCTGACTGCAGGAAGAACAATAAAAGAAACACCTTCTAAATATAAAGCTGCACTATTATTATTGAATATTGTAATGAAAATATTGACTGATAAAGCTATGCACATGCATGTAGCCGCACACCTTTCCTTTATACATCCCAATTTATAGAGTTCAGCTGTTGGGCTGCCCTGTCGCCACCCATAAATATATATTATATAAATACTCAGAACTCTGCCACCACATGAAGCAATAACCATGACAATGTCCTTGTTTGTGCAAATGTCTGTTTGAACAGCAGAGCGTTCAGCCGGGATTTAAAGACAGACGCCGTGTCAGAGAGTCTTTTAGTGGGGAAAGTGGATATTATATGTATAATATATATATTATGTGTATAAGTTGTACATATACAAAATGGAGATGATTTCTGTCCATTAAGGTGCATTCACAAAGCGGGCAGCTTGACTGCAGTTGCACTGGTACAGTTAGCGCATGGCTCCTTCTTTAAGACTGATAATGTATTATCTCAGTCTTTCCATCTGAGATAATAAATCGATAATAAATTATGTGAACACTGGATAAATTAATTAGTGGATAGAGTAAATATTGCTGAAGCATCAGAGCTGCTGGCCTGTTCTTCACATCGGTTCATTTTAGTTCTGAGTTCAGTTTTTACCTTCAGGTTTCACAGAAACTCACAATGTTTCTGTTAGAGCGTCACTGAACAGGAAGCATGAACACAATACATACACACTGAGACTGTGGTTCATCACATGACAGCCACAGAGGCTGTGATTGGTCAGTTTGTTTCTTTATGATGTTCATTTTGATCACTCCTGCTGGACTTCCTGCTGCTGCGCCATCTTTTATCTGGAAAACATGAAGGATTTATTATGTTTCAGGCTTTATTTCATAATTAATTTATTTGTATTTTTGGAAGACTGAATGGAATCTAAAGAATAATGGACCTTACCAAATTTTTCTATGTTCCTGTTAAGAATCGAATCCGACTGTCAGTCATTGTAGGATCAGATTTCCTACAGGCTGAAATGAAAACATCTTTAAATTCTGTTTGTTGCCATTGGACAGTTTTGTGTTGCATCAGCTGATTAAAGGTCCTCCAGAAATGCGTCTGGACTCCTGATCAGGTGTTTAGCTTTCAGGTGACCGAGTTCCAGCTGCTTCTGAAGCTTTCCTCACGTCTCTGCCGTCTTCTTCAGAGTGATGATGAGAAGCAGCAGAAATAAAGACACAGATGGGTGACGAATCTGGACTGACAGAGTTTCATCATGTTGAAACAAACCAAGTTCTGACTGGTTTTGCTGAAGCATCTGCCTCGGCGTTGCTGCTACAAGTCTACCCTCACCACTTCCCTCCTTGTCTCTACTTCTTCTGAGAGTGAGACGCACTAATAGTACGTTGAATTTCCTAAGTCTGCCAGGTATTACCCTGCTCAAAACTGAGAAAGACTCTCCTGGTTTCAGCCAAGCTCCATCCAGACGCCCCACCGTTCCCCCTGCAGCCCACTAGTTTCACACAGACATCTGTAACAGTCGCTCTTTACTACAACCTGCTCTTGTTACTGAACCAGGTTGGTGTTAGTGGTTCTGGCGAGTCCCAAGGATGTCTTTTTAACTTTTGGACTAAAACAACCTATAAAACGATTTGCACCTTTTTCTCTCTAGAATCAAACATTGGAGCTATTTTACAAATATCAACGAGCTTTGAGGTGACTCATCAATGGAATGTCCACAACTTCTTTTAGATTTTCTTTATGCTAAATATTTTATGAGTAAAGCAATTATGCGAGGGTCAGAACAGCTTCAGTCAGTTCCAGAAATCATCAACCAAACAGGAACCTTTGAACCGGCTTGATGAAGAAGGAAGTGTTTCGGTAAGATGAGGCTCACGGCACTGATAGATGAAGGAAGCTTTAACTTACTACTTATTCTTATTACAATCATTATTTGAGTTGTCTGTTCTAGTTTTCTGTTTTCTCCTGAAAATAAACCAGAAATTATTAATTATTCTAATTATTTGAAACCAAAGTTGCAGCTGTTTATTCTTACACATCATCATCATCATCATCATCGTGAAAACTAAACAAATACAAATATTAAAATACAAAACACAAATCGACAATACAACAACAAACATAATTGTACCTCGCTGCCTTTACTGGGGAACGCCATTTCTCAGTCCAACGTTTGACAGTTCATTTGGTTCACTGCAATTCCCCAGTTTCATAGGCCCTGCCCTCTTTCTCTACGGCAGCCCGTGAGGTACGTATTAAACAAAAAGTCCCAAAACATCACAAATACCATTAAGCCAAATAAATCACCAACAATGCAAACCAAAACAGACAAACATACATAAACAATCTGCAACAGTCTTATTAGAAATTCATTTAAAATTTAATTTAAATAAACTACAAATAATTTAGACATTTCATTTTACAATAATTTACAATCCGTTACATTACTAATTGAGTATTTTGCTTTGGGTCTTATTCAATGTGTTTAGACTTTGTTCTTTAAAACTTTCCTTCATTGAAATAAGGAATAGTCTCATCTATTTTTTATAAATATGCATACTGGAAACTTTCTTCCTCGTTTTTCAGGAAGTTATGTTCCTGTTTCATAACGGGGCAACACTCTCTGTGCCTGACTGATTTCTTATGATTAAACACAAAAAGAAACAGAATTACAGCAAAGCTTGCATGAGACACAAAACACAAACTGATTGATTTGATTGAAGTTTGATTCTGCTGTTGGGTCTAGATGTTTTTTGTAATTCATTTCAAAGGTAACTTTATAAATTGTTCCGGCTCAACATGACTATCCAGGAGGAATAAAGACTTCAGGTCGAACATCTGTTTCCTTCAGACGGACCAACTTTGCACAGATCTGACTGATGGCTAGAAATAAGAGCATGAACTGTTGCTCTGTACATCTGAATCCTGAGACAAGATCAGACATGCAGAGATACTTCATCCACCGACCAGGAAGTCAGATATCTCAGCCGGGCCACAAACACTCAGAACCTACTGGTACCAGTTTGACTATCAAACTGGGAGCACACTCAGCTTGTTGTCTGGGTTATGAGACTCAAAGAAAATCAGAGTTCCTGATTGAAACCAGGTGATGCAACTCTGCAACATAACCAGAACCAGAACCAGGTCCAGTTCTGGTTCTGTCCAGAGAGAAAAACCCAGTCAGGACTGAAAACCAGAAGAATGTGGAGTTAAAACTCACCTGATCAGATCCTTGCTTCTCCTTCTGTTCACACAAATCGAGTTGGAGCTGGGAGATGATGACTCTCCAGAACTTGAACTGGACCCACCTGAGGCTCCGCCCCTCTCACAGCAGAGGTGTGTTCACCTGTTGAATGACAAGAATCTTGTCTGATCATCGATGCCTGGAAATAAATTTTAAAAACAAAGAGTTCACATTTCGGTTTATACATTATTTTAAATGTCTTTAGGTTTTTCTTAATTTAATGTAGTATTACATTTAAATTAAGAACTTTAACAACCAACAGCAACACATGTAGATATTAAATATGAGGTTTTAATAATTGACACCAAAGTCTGCATAAAGACTGTTAAACCTGTTGAGACGTTTCCTACTGACACAAAGAAGTCCCTAATGCATTCCTGAACATAATGTTCTGTAAAGTTTTGGTCTCAGCCTGGGGACTGTGGTTTAAGTTGTACCAAATTTTGCATTGAAATAGCTGCATACAAGCCTGAACGCTGTAGGCGATGAGATGTTTATGAGTTTCTGTCTCTCTTTGCCAGACGGTTTCTCTGTTGTTCATTGTTAGTTTGGTTCAGCTGTCACACAGACGGCCTCACATTTAACACCAGAATATTTTGCTCTATAGAGGACTTGCTGGTCGGTACAGTGTCAGTAAAACGAGGCCTAAACTAATCAATTCTCTTCTATGGTGTCCCATCCAATTGGTAATATATAATAAGGAGAAAATTATTGAGTGTAGAAATTACCTGTACTTTCTGACAAATTGTTTCTGCTGTATCTTAAAATTTGAAGACATTATTGAACCACATGAGAAACATTTTTAGCAGATTGTCAAAGTTTAGTCAATATTTACCCTCTAGAATAAAGTTTACAGTAATGCAGCTTTAACTCCGCCCCACTCTGCGCTCAAAGCCCGCCCACTCGGCTCCCCTGCCCTGTGACAGGCTAACAAAGCAGCAGGGGCTCTTCAAAGATTTCATCGATTAAACACGTTAAATCTCACAGCTCGTTAGTGAGCATGATTGATCAACCCTGGATAACTGAAGACATTTCTGTTCCAAACTGCAGAATAAAATTAGTGTCAAGCACTTATAGCAAAAGTTTGTGAATCATTTCAAAGATATTGATAAATGTTTCCAGAGGTCAAAGTCAACCTTACCCTCCAAAACTACAAATTCAGATCATATATTAGTCAATCAACTGACTGCATAATCTACCAGACTTGTCTTCTATTATTGATCATGGTTATGGTGACAGATATGGGTTCATCACTTCGCACTAGCAAAGACTAAACAGAACCAAACCAACAAATCTGGTTCTGGAGATTCGGAAAGAACCACCAGATATTTACCATGTAAGCAAAATGAACTGGATTCTGAGTTCTGGTTCTGTTGGTTCTCTGTTTGATTAATGTAGAAATTTGAGCTGCTGCATTTGTTTTTGGGCTCAAATTATCATAATGTAATTCTGAGATGAGCAAACTGACCACAACCTCTAATTAGACAAAAGGTCAGACACAGTTCTGACCTGCCATCTCACCTGCACACAGATTACTAGCAGTAGATACTCTGCAAACCATCTTCAGTTGTTGTAATTTCATTATTCATACAGAAAATCTCTGAGTGTTTTTAGTCCTGAAGCTGCAGAGTTGAAATCAGAGAGAAGCAACAAATGAAAATACCACTTTTCCAAAGTTACACTAGTTAATAAACACAAAATGGAGAACTGGATCAGGAAGTGTCTGCCTTACCTGGAAACACATCCAGGGTTTCCCCCAAAACACCTGCTGAGCCTAGTGGTGGGGTCATAAGGTCATCCTTCAGCGGCCTGCTGCGTTTTTGGGTTAAATTGTCACAAACATTCAATTAAGTGTCATAATTCAGAGGAGGGGAGTGAAGCCTGGTGGCCCGCCAGGCTGATAAAACACAGAGAAAACCCTGACTTCTTTCTGGAGTTCTAGTCGGTCTCCTGGCTGCTCCTGGTCCGGTCCCTCACCAGGAGCCGTTGTTGGACTCAGCACAATGTGTGAAATATTAAAATCATGCCAGAGGCAGGACTTGAACCCCTGAACATCAGACACTAAGCACAGACTTCGTGCCGACCAAATCACTGAGCTCTAGCAGTAAAAAGGTAGACGCTTATGTTCATGCTCTTATTTTGAAGTGGGTGAAGCCTGAGTCATACAGCCTATCACAAAAGCAGATAATCCAGATGTGTTTTAATTATCAGGGTGTGTTTTTTATCTTAAATCCTCACAGAAATCACTGGTTTGGTTCCAGAAGATTTAGAAAAATATTAAATTTGTGAATCCAGTTTTAATAAAGCCCTTAGTGTTCTGTCCAGGATCCATACAACAAGTGACTTTAGAGTATTTGAGGCAGATTTGAACAGAAAAACACAGAAAAATCAGTCTGGTTAGTGACGCCTCGTTCAACCTTCTGCTCAGGAACTAAACAGATGAGTTAATAAACCCCTGAGGATGTTTAAATTATTCATATTTCTACATTTTGAGTAGAATAAGCCTGTATTTGTTAAATACCTGTATATTTAATGTTTCCATCACCAAACTGAAAATTAAACAGAAAACATCTTAGTTCTCAATAGAACTCTGAAACATCACTGCAAATGGCTAGCATTGGTTTCAGTTGTCAACATAACGTGCTGGATCTTAAACATATGCTTGATATATAAAGAAAAAGAGACGCCTTCCTAACTGTCAACACAACGGGATAATGAAGTCAGGAAACAGTTTTTTAAAATGGCAAGGAACAGAACCAAACATATTTTTACTGTGAATTTATGGTCTTAATTCTGTATGAGAATTTTTAAAATTTAATTTTAATTGCTTTAATAAATTAACAAAGAAAAAAGTTTTTGTCATTTAAAAATAAAACAGTCACTGAAAAAGCGTATTACATGAGGATGAAATATCACTCAAGCATGTTTACAATCTGTTTCTTAAATAAATAAAATGCTTTGTTATTAACCAGCTCGTCCTGCTGAGCCTCCAGATCAAAACTTACCAACTGCAAAAACATTACACTTTATTCTGTAAAGATTGTTGAAATAGATTTTTAAATTAGCACAATACTGCACAGGAGAGCCTTGATGCATATGAAATATACCATAGTAAGTTAAAGTACACTCTACGTTCACATAAATTTAGATAAAGATCCAAACTAAAACAACTGGCCACTCTCAGATTTTACAGGGAGGATTCTACAGAAAGAGGCCTGGACTCCTTAAATCTATATAGATTTAAGGAGTCTGTCTGCCAGGCAATTAACAAATTATTTAGTGTGGTTCAAAAGTTCACTAGGAGCTTAAAACTTTTTACAAATAATTTTATCCATACTAGAATTAAATATATATAAGGGATGTTCTTTAAGTATTAAGACAACATGTTTTAAAGTAATTATTTTGTAATCATACTATTTGCATGCATTTTATATTATAATAGATTTAGAAAACCACTTTAAAATATTTCTGATATTTACAAAAAGAGTTATTTAAGAAAAAAACACTTTAGTTCTTAGATCCAAACTTACAGTCATTATTTAGCATTAGATTTTGTGCGAGTTTGTTTAAAATACAAACTATTTTCTTGTGGAATCATTTGAGGCAGAGAACGCTCCAGCTGCACGCTATAAATCAAGGCCTGGCAAGAGCCTGGTACGAGAAGATCTGGGTGTTTTAAACAGGCCCCAGAGGTAATACAATCAATGTTAAGACAGCACCCACAAAGGGAAGAACACACCTCCTAATGCATATATTTAAATTTAGAGAAAGACACAGTCATATAAAAGTTTTCGTTTGCAACAGAGAATTCGAATTGCTTTCTGCCCGAGTTCACAATTTCCGGAAAATGCATTTTCTGTCTTTACTTTCTTTTAACTCGTGCAATTATTTCTGTTTTGTCATGTCTTGGACTTTTTGATAATCTAGGTGAGATTGACTTTGATTTTCTCTGGATAAAACTCTGGATATCTGAAGTCTGACGTCGTATGATTGCTCTTTCTCCCTGCACATATTGAGGCTCAAGAATCCGGGATCAGAGGAATGAATTAACGAGCTAAATCAAGTTATTCCTCTTCTTTAATTCTTAACAAGATCCAAGAAATATCTTTACAGAATGAAAATATTTCTATTAAGATATTTACAGAAATACGGGTAAGTTTGAGAATCAAGTCTGGAAAAACAATAAATATTAAGAAAAACATATTTATTAGTGATAAGCTTCAACCAGCAGGATAAAACCACCTCAACAACAATTAATAAAACTTAAGTCAATAAAACTTTTAAAAATATTAGCAAAGATTATTTAATATTTTAGATTTGTTTTTGCCAGAGACTCCGCCCTCCAGTAGTCACACGTTTAAATATTTCAGACTAATTTAATGATTAATCAAATTAATGATCATTTTGATCAATTAATTATTAGCAGATTCAGATCTAAACTCATGCTGAGTTTAGATCTGAATCTGCTAATAATAAGTTTATATGTAAAACAAGCTGCTGCTGCTGAAGTCTGTTAGCATCGCTAGCTCCGCTCAGAGTCTCTGCGGGCTGTTAACACTGACAGTGAAAACATTAGAAAACACTGAAGTGAACCCAGAAGTATTTCGCCTTCATTTATCTCACTGGGAACCAGTTGGCCCACTGGTGTGAGAACCCCTCTCGCCCCCGTCTAGAACCGCCCCTGGCCTGCAGGTCTGGTGTATTTTTGCTTAGTATGTTTTTATCTTGGGCTGCACAGTTGCACAGTGGGTAGCGCTGTTGCCTTGCAGCAAGAAGGTCCTGGGTTCGATTCCCGGCCCGGGGTCTTTCTGCACGGAGTTTGCATGTTCTCCCTGTGCATGCTGGGATCTCTCCTGGTTCTCCGGCTTCCTCCCACAGTCCAAAAACATGACTGTCAGGTTGATCGGCCTTCCCAAATTCTCCCTAGGTGTGAGTGTGTGTGTGTGCATGGTTGTTTGCCCTGTTTGTCTTTGTGTTGCCCTGCGACAGACTGGCGACTTGTCCAGGGTGACCCCGCCTCTCGCCCGGAATGCAGCTGGAGAAGCACCAGCAACTCCCGACCGCGTTAGGGAAGGGTGACCGGGAAATGGATGGATGTTTTTTTCTTCATTGATTGGAAATCAAGTTATCCAAACTGGTAAACAACATTTGGCTAATGCTATGATTTATTAAATATCCAAATCAGTGGCGGAGCTAGAATTTTTTTCAAGGGGTGGCCAAAGGGTGAGCAAGGCTTTATCAGAGGGTCCATATACAAATGATGAACGAAAGGAAACAAATATTTTCTCACACACACTCAAATTAAAATGGTTTATGTAATTAAGATTTGCCATCACCAAACAAGACGTTAAACGGCTCTATGGAACAGTGAACATGTAAATGTAAACTCAGAGCCCAGAATATGACCAAAAACAAATTCTCATAAATAAATAAATAAAAATAAACTGGTGCTTCTGGTGTGCAATAGGTTGTGCTGGGTGGGGGCAGTTCAGTGCCATTTCCTCCTGCTTCACTGTCTTCCTCCCAGAGTCTGAATCTGTATCACCCTCATCTCTCTCTGGAACTTAACTGGAAATGCATAAACAGACACAATAAAAAATGCAAAAAGCATCATGCTAACCTTTAGAATCAGGCTTATTGGATTTTACTACTTAATAACTCTCTATCAGCCTCTAACCCGCTGGTGATCCACTTGGGCCTGGAGTCTCCTGGCTGGATTCTCCAGGTTGGTCCCTGTTGCAGGGATCTGTCTGGTCCTGGTCACTCCTGCAGGGTTCTGTCTGGTCTTGGTCACTGCTGCAGGGTTCTGTCTGGTCCTGGTCACTGCAGGGTTCTGTCTGGTCCTGGTCACTGTTGCAGGGTTCTGTCTGGTCCTGGTCACTGCTGCAGGGTTCTGTCTGGTCCTGGTCACTGCTGCAGGGTTCTGTCTGGTCCTGGTCACTGCTGCAGGGTTCTGTCTGGTCCTGGTCACTCCTGCAGGGTTCTGTCTGGTCTTGGTCACTGCTGCAGGGTTCTGTCTGGTCCTGGTCACTGCTGCAGGGTTCTGTCTGGTCCTGGTCACTGCTGCAGGGTTCTGTCTGGTCCTGGTCACTGCTGCAGGGTTCTGTCTGGTCCTGGTCTCTGCTGCAGGGTTCTGCAGGGTTCTGTCTGGTCCTGGTTTTTGCCTCTTTAAGAAGAACTGGGAGATATTCCCTTTTTCTCTTCATTTGGGCTCTACACAAAATAAGAGCCTGGTATTTAGACTCCATGACTGTTTGGCAGAGACACTATTTCAACTATTATTAAACTATAGTTTTTAGTTTTCTGTAGCTAGCTAAAATAATACTAAATTAAAAATATATTAATTAAAATTAATTAATATAACTAGTCAGGTTATAATTCAAAGCTTTCATTTGACATAGCCTACTTACATTTCAGTCATTATAAACTTAATGGTTTTTCTCATATTCTTACCACACATTTCAAGCAAGAGCTGGGAGATATAAAACATTAGAGGGCAGCATGTCACTAAAACATATGTTAAAAGAATCTGTCTAAACACGATCTATCAGCACTAGCATGGCTAATATAATAAACGAGGCACTATGCAGCGGGCACAACCTTTTTTTTTTTCTTTTTAGAAATGTATGACAAGTGCCGCCTCTCATTAGGAAAGTAACAGCGGTTACTGCTGAGCGGTAAAATGTCGTAAATACCTGCAAAACTCCCGGTGTAACTCTAAAGCCGCGGATGTGTTTTGGATCAAGCAGGAACCACATGTCAGTTTAACCAATGAACAGCGTCGGGCATCGAGCTGCCTTCAGGGACAGTCGGAAATTACAGTTTTCCTGGCAAATCTTTGCTGATATCATACGTATTATATTTAAAAATTACCATTTCTAGTGGGGTGGCACTAGGGGTGGCCAGGGGTCTGTTTGGGGGTGGCAAGTGCCACCCGGCCACCCCTCTGGCTCCGCCAATGATCCAAACTCAACATAAAGCGATAATAATAATCAAGCTAAAATCACAGTAATAAACTGAATCCATCATAGCAAAATGTTCTGTACCATATCAGCCTCAGGAGATGGTTGAGGATGAAGAGATTCTGGTTCTGTAGGTTCTGGACGGGTCTGCGGTTCCTCCTGGTCCATTCAGTCTGTTTACACAGCAGCGCCATGACGGACACATTGTTTTATCTTTCTATGTTCAGCTTATAATACGCGTCTTTTACTCACGTCTGTATTTTTGAGGCGTTTTTTCTTCGACGAACATGGATTCAGGGAGAGGACGTTTTAAAAAGACGCGGGTTGATAGCAGCTCACTGCGGCTGCGCAGTGTCCGTCTCTAGGCAACTGTGACGTCCAGCGTTGGTCTGTAGCGTTCAGGGGTCCTTCTGCTCCCGCCAGTACAGTGCAGCTGACCTTAATATTGCCTGTCATATTTTGACCATTATTGTTAAACTTAGTATTGATGTTTATTATTGGTGCGTCTATCGGACAGTTATGTATTGGTTCAATACATTTAACGGCCAAATATGAGACGAGCCCTGTTGAAAATATAATTTTAATCAGCACAATCGTAGACAAGCTAACCTTTATGCTATGAAATATACCATGAACATTTGGAGTAGCCTTTACGTTAAGAGAAACTTAGATATAGATCCAAACTAAAACAACTGGTGGCTCTCTGAACTTACATAAATCTCTAGGGAGGGTTTTGCAGATAGACAGGACTGTAACTCCTTTAACTGCTATACAGACAGGGAGTCTGTCTGCTATCAGGACAATAAATTCTTTAGTGTCGGTTCAAAAGTTCAGTGGAACATTAAAACTTTTTTAAAAAAAATCTTATCCATACTAGAATTAAATATATATTAAGATATTTCCTTAAGCATTAAACAACATGTTTTGAATTATTTTGTAATCACACTATTTGCATGCATTTTATATTACTTAAATACAATAGAAATTAGCAAATATATTTTACTTTAAAAATATTTCAGGTATTCTCAAAAAGAGCTTTTCTTAAAATAGAAACATTTTAGTTCTTAGATCCAAACTTATAGTTATTATTTAGCATTAGATTTTGTTGAATCAGTTTGAGGCAGAGATAACGTTCCAGCTGCACGTCATAAATTACGGTCTGGGCAAGAGGCTGGCCAGAGAAGATCTGGGTGTTTCAGTAGGACTCAAAGGTAATAAAATTAACATTAAGACAGGCCCCACAAAAGGAAAAACACACCTTTTAATGCATATATTTAACTTTAGGGATGATCTCGAGTAACATCGACAGAGGAAATTTGATTTCATGATAAATTTGAAAATTTGATTTCATGACACTTCATGTTTTGAGTTTAAGCCCAGTTGATTTGCTTATCCACTCCATGTATTCACACACATCCATGATAAAAAGCTGCTCTCTGACATGCATTGATTCCACCTGCAGAAATCACACCATAAAGCTGCTTGTTGAAGATCACTCCTCCACCAGAGTCACCCTGTAGAAAAATGTAGATCAATATAATTATTTATTTATGTTGCAAAAGAGAAAGGTCTTCCAGTCACTGTAGAGAGATATTGAAGAAACAAACTTACAGCACAAGCATCCTTGTTCGGTGATGCAGCACGGAATATAAACCCACGTGTCGAATCGAAGTAGGAAACAGCAGCAACATTCATGTCGACACACTGAAGATGTGATGAAACAGCATCATAGGGTACTGCAGAGAAACAGGAGAATCATAAACATGTTCTTCACTCGGCCTTTTCTGTAGAGACAGAAACAAAGATTTTATTCTCATAACTTTAATTTTCTCTCACGTCGCTCATTATTGGGTCCGATTATCGTTGCTCCCTCTCCTGCCAGCTGAACTGCATCACCACTGAAAGACAATTAGAATAAATGTCAGTAAGGCAACAATGCAGAAAATGAATCGCAAGAAGGAACAATGAAACAACATAAACTAAATCCATGAAGGTCTTCATCCACTGAGACAGGAGTGTCCAACTCCAGTCCTCAGTGATATGTCCTGCGTCCTTTACATGTGTCTCTGATCCAACACACCTGAGCTAAATGGGTTCTGGTTCTGCTGGTGGCATGATTACCTGACTCAGGTGTCCTGAAGCAGAGTTAGCAGGACTGTGGCAGTGGAGACAGAAAACCTAAACTCAAGCTTTTGATCAGAAAAAGACTTACTTTTTAAGTCGGTTACTGCATCTTGGTAGCAGAGCAGGTGGGATATTTCTGACTGGTGTCTGAAGCTTCAGCAACATGATGTCATGCAGCTGGCCATCTTTAACATAAATCACAGGATTGTGTTGGATTATCTGATCCTCCTGTTTAGCAGTCTGTGGATGAACTCCAAAAATGCTGTAAAAGTCCTGCAGAAAAGGTTAGATTATAATGAATAGTTAGAAAACCTGATCAACTGCAGATAAAAATGTCTTAATGTCTCTTTCCTACCATCCTGACTCCATCTCAGAGCAGTGACCTGCAGTGAGGATCCACTCAGGATGGATCAGAGATCCGCCACACTGGGTCGTGGCAGTACCTTTCCTGCCTGATAGCCGAACATAATGAAGATGCTCATTGTTATCACAATCATGACCTCTGATGATTCTCTTCTGCAGAGAAACACCCGAGTTCACTGAAACACCTGAAGAAGAAAAAGGTGGACTTACTTTACTCAGAAATCAGATGCAAACATGACTGCTGGAATAGAAGAAGAATAAACAGTTAAAGATTGAAAAGCATCAGTATTTACATTCAAAAAAGTTTCAGTGTGAAAAAGAATCAGAGGGAAGTTTGAGGGTCACAGAGAGCAGCAGCCTCTCTGGAACCAGTGGAAGTGTCACCAGTGTCTCCAGTGAGTCCAACTCACCCTGTAGCAGCAGCAGAACCTTCAGCAGAGCCATTGCTGGTCCAGCTTGCTGTGAATGTCTGCAGTCCTGCTGCAGCTTTTAAACTCTCTTCACAAGTTCCAGTTTGACAGGAAGCCACCAATCATAGGACGACACTGATGTGCGCTGTCAGGTGCATAGAGATGAAATTTAACATCTCATCCAAAAGAAACTTTTAAAAAGTTCTAGTTGCATTGACAGATTATTTCACTAATAACGAAACATTTCCACCTCTTATAACTTAAATAAACAGCCATTGAAACACGATCCTTTTGTTTCATAAGTCAATTCCTTTTCAGTAATATTAAGGAACTTATGACAAGCAATTCCCATATTTTGCTGTAGTTACTTGTATGTTAGTTTTGCTTTATTCCAAGTGAACTGAGAGATTTGTTCTAGAAACTAAAGTAAAAATTATTTTCTGTTTTTGCAGAGTTTTGCTCAAAGGAAAACTTGATTGTAATCTTAATGAAATAAAATGACTTTCTGAAGAAAGAGAGACTCGTCATTGTTTTCAGGTTGTTTTTTTAAGAAAAACCTGTTTGGTTTCCAATCTACATGAATTCACATCTGCCAAATATTTTGACTGTGAAAATATTCTTATATTTTAGTTCTTAAATTGAAAATTTAAGAAAAAAGTCCATTGTTCCCATTTTATTTTGTAACAATGTTATTGTGCTTCTGAAAAGCATGTCTTATTTATATTGAAATGTTTACATTATATGAATTACAAACTGACCATGGCCACATTAAAGCCACAGAGTGGCTTTAAAGTTCGATGCATTTCCAGCGTCTGTCATGATGTCTGTGGTTGAAGTGTGGACCCAACGCAGCAGGCAGGAGACGTGTTACTGTCACCAGTCTGAACTGCTATGGTTATGCCAGCGTGCAGCCGTGTGCGCGTGAGCAGATAAAACAGATAGAGAAAAGACAAAGAGTCCTTTTGTCCATTACAGACTGTTCCTTATGAATCACTTGAAACATTTTTGGTCTATAAAGTTACAAGATTCATTTCCTTTATGAAGGACATTTTAGTTCCATTAGTCTTTCTGTTTTTTCAACGTCACATCACAGGCTTTTTTCAGTTTTTTTTAGTGTTTTTCTTCTTAACTTGATCTTTGTTAGCACATTAACTCCTCTTTACACCAAACTAAATTTTAGCAACATGAAACAGATGTTTTTAATAGCTGAATATGTGATCACATTTCTAATTGGTCAAATCACAGACTGTTAAATTGAACATTTGTACATTTGATTTTTGTATTTTTGCCATCTTAGAAATATGGCAATGTTCACAGAGTAAGCTGTGTCTGTTGCAAAACAGAAAAAAAGTTTTCAAAAGTAAAGTCTTGATATAATGTTTGTTTTACTCGACTGAACATGTGTGATTACAATGAATTTTGCTCTGTACAAGTCAAAACAAAAGACTTTTGAACAGTCAAATATCTCTAGCAATGAATTTTATACATTTAAAATCATTTTTTTGTTGTTGTAGTTGTACTTATTAGCAGCACACATGCCTAAGCAGTGACCAGTCCCACCATTTTGGATGTCCAGGTTACGACACAGGTACTGCCCCAAATCTCAAATTTTTCTACGTTTGTAACCTTCAAACCTTTATGTGCACTTGACTTCACCCTACCCTTCATAGAAGGGTGTAGGGTGCAGCAGTATGGGTCTGGCTGTGGAAACACACACACTCATACATGCACATTTATACACCTGTAAATTTTAGAAAATGACATGTTAGGAAATGTCCTCTATAGAGCAGAGTTAGATATAAACCAAGAAAATGAACGAGGAACTGCTGCTAGGAACCATTTGCTTTGTTCTCCCATCAGGAAACATGGTGATGGACCAGCTCTGTATTTTGGTCTTAATATGTAAGATTGATGATTTCAACTCACCGACTCTTCTTGAACCTCATTCATTACGAACCAAGCTGGAGAAAAGATCATCTCCAACACTGTAATGTTACAGTCTCAAGGTTCATTTTCAATCATATTTTCAACATGTTATGCATTCATTGGGAAATGTCACAGTTTCAAATGAAATATTTGTTTAGCAAACTGACTCTATAAACTTCTGAACTAGATAGTTAACACTGATATAGCAAAATATTTATTTCTAGCTTGCTAACTGTTACATTTACAGGTGATTTGCACAGAAATAACTATTAAGCTTATATGCAAATTTTCTTTTATATAAGGAAAATTTATTTTGTGTTTAAACTTGTCAAGAAACAAAACACAATGTATTAAAGGTTTCTATGAGTTTGAAAGTATATAAGAGAAGGATGGTAATGCATTGGACATTAAAGTCACTGTCATGAATTTCAGTTATGGAGATGGTGGGGAAGACGCAGTGGACCCAGGAGAGCGAGTGATGGAGGAAGTCTCCTTTTTGCTCACCGCTTTAAGCTTGTCTGATGTTTAGTTTTCATCACTTAATAACCAAAAATCAAGTGAAGCAAAGACTGAAGCTCTCTGCTCTCTCTCAGGTTTTGCCTTCCTTAATCTGTTATTGTTCATGTGTTACTGTCACCAGTCTGAACTGCTATGGTTATGTCAGCGTGCAGCCGTGTGCGCGTGAGCAGATAAAACAGATAGAGAAAAGACAAAGAGTCCTTTTGTCCATTACAGACTGTTCCTTATGAATCACTTGAAACATTTTTGGTCTATAAAGTTACAAGATTCATAATTTCCTTTATGAAGGACATTTTAGTTCCATTAGTCTTTCTGTTTTTTCAGAACGTCACATCACAGGCTTTTTTCAGTTTTTTTTAGTGTTTTTCTTCTTAACTTGATCTTTGTTAGCACATTAACTCCTCTTTACACCAAACTAAATTTTAGCAACATGAAACAGATGTTTTTAATAGCTGAATATGTGATCACATTTCTAATTGGTCAAATCACAGACTGTTAAATTGAACATTTGTACATTTGATTTTTGTATTTTTGCCATCTTAGAAATATGGCAATGTTCACAGAGAGTAAGCTGTGTCTGTTGCAAAACAGAAAAAAAGTTTTCAAAAGTAAAGTCTTGATATAATGTTTGTTTTACTCGACTGAACATGTGTGATTACAATGAATTTTGCTCTGTATACAAGTCAAAACAAAAGACTTTTGAACAGTCAAATATCTCTAGCAATGAATTTTATACATTTAAAATCATTTTTTTGTTGTTGTAGTTGTACTTATTAGCAGCACACATGCCTAAGCAGTGACCAGTCCCACCATTTTGGATGTCCAGGTTACGACACAGGTACTGCCCCAAATCTCAAATTTTTCTACGTTTGTAACCTTCAAACCTTTATGTGCACTTTGACTTCACCCTACACCCTTCATAGAAGGGTGTAGGGTGCAGCAGTATGGGGTCTGGCTGTGGAAACACACACACTCATACATGCACATATACACCTGTAAATTTTAGAAAATGACATGTTAGGAAATGTCCTCTATAGAGCAGAGTTTAGATATAAACCAAGAAAATGAACGAGGAACTGCTGCTAGGAACCATTTGCTTTGTTCTCCCATCAGGAAACATGGTGATGGACCAGCTCTGTATTTTGGTCTTAATATGTAAGATTGATGATTTCAACTCACCGACTCTTCTTGAACCTCATTCATTACGAACCAAGCTGGAGAAAAGATCATCTCCAACACTGTAATGTTACAGTCTCGAGGTTCATTTTCAATCATATTTTCAACATGTTATGCATTCATTGGGAAATGTCACAGTTTCAAATGAAATATTTGTTTAGCAAACTGACTCTATAAACTTCTGAACTAGATAGTTAACACTGATATAGCAAAATATTTATTTCTAGCTTGCTAACTGTTACATTTACAGGTGATTTGCACAGAAATAACTATTAAGCTTATATGCAAATTTTCTTTTATATAAGGAAAATTTATTTTGTGTTTAAACTTGTCAAGAAACAAAACACAATGTATTAAAGGTTTCTATGAGTTTGAAAGTATATAAGAGAAGGATGGTAATGCATTGGACATTAAAGTCACTGTCATGAATTTCAGTTATGGAGATGGTGGGGAAGACGCAGTGGACCCAGGAGAGCGAGTGATGGAGGAAGTCTCCTTTTTGCTCACCGCTTTAAGCTTGTCTGATGTTTAGTTTTTCATCACTTAATAACCAAAAATCAAGTGAAGCAAAGACTGAAGCTCTCTGCTCTCTCTCAGGTTTTGCCTTCCTTAATCTGTTATTGTTCATGTGTTACTGTCACCAGTCTGAACTGCTATGGTTATGTCAGCGTGCAGCCGTGTGCGCGTGAGCAGATAAAACAGATAGAGAAAAGACAAAGAGTCCTTTTGTCCATTACAGACTGTTCCTTATGAATCACTTGTAACATTTTTGGTCTATAAAGTTACAAGATTCATAATTTCCTTTATGAAGGACATTTTAGTTCCATTAGTCTTTTAGTTTTTCACAATGTAACATCACAGGCGTTTCTCTATTTTTTCATACGCTGTGTGTTTGTCCTTAACTTGATCTTTGTTAGCATTTTAGCTCCTCTTTACACCAAACTAACTTTTAGCAACATAAAACAGATGATTATGAGCAGCAGATGAATATATAATCACATCTCTAATTGGTCAAATCACAGACTGTCACTCGCCGCTTCGTCTTGCTACTGCTCCTCTTCCTTTCTCCCTGCTTTCCTCATGGTCTCTACTTTTCCCTGGTTTGGATTTATTTTTATTCTTTGGACTTTGTTGTTTTTTTTGTAAGTTGGATTTTTAATCTACATCAAAACTTTTACGTCTCCTGCCAGATGAATAATTCTCAGGTTTTGTGAAATTTAATTTATTGAATGTTTTCATAATTCTTAAAGACATAAATTTCATACACTGGTAACTCTGCCATGTTTTATCCTTTTGATCGGCCAAATTTAAAGGAATCCTACAAATCCTCAGCTCACATTGTTCTTTACTTTGTCATGAAAAACATCTGTACTGAAACTGATGGACTACACAGCCAAAAAAACTGCTTGTCGTACAAACACCCTGGAGGACCATAATTCAGAAGTTAGGGACTGTCCAGCAAGTCCCTAACTTGCTGGACAGAGCTGGGTGACTCTCCTGTGATTGGACAGACCGGCGTCCGTCCTGTAATTGGTGGCTTCTTATCCAACAGGAAATTGTGAACAGAGTTTAATAGCTGCTGCAGGACTGCAGACATTCACAGGAAGCTGGACCAGCAATGGCTCTGCTGAAGGTTCTTCTGCTGCTGCTGGGTCTGGGTGAGTCGGACTCACTGGAGACACTGGAGACACTTACACTGGCTCTGAATGCTATGAATTATGTTGATCTGTGTTTTATTTTATCCTTTTCATTATGAGCTGTCATGTTGTTTCTTTGTTTCTACTGTTTGAAATTGCTAAAACAGCAACTTTCTTCTCCAGGTGTTGCAGTGAGCTCAGTGTCTCTGCAGAAGAGAATTGTTGGAGGTGAGAAATGTAGAGACGATGAGCGTAGGTATCATGTGAAGATCTATGGACATAATAAGGTACAGGATTATATTTGTGGAGGATCTCTGATCAGCCATCGTTGGGTTCTGACTGCAGCTCACTGCTGGGAGTCAGATCCAGGATGGTGAGTCAGGAAACATCTTACTGACAAATCACCAATAACTTAATTTGTTTCTCTATTAAGTATGTTTTATTTTCCTAGGATTATCGAGGCACATGTCGGAGTTCATCCTAAATGGCTTCCCACAACGACGTATAGAATTACTCATCATGAGATTTATAGAGACAGCAACGGCCGTAAACATGACATCATGCTCCTCAAGCTGCCAGTACTAACAACAATCGAACCAGTCAAACTAGCTGCCTGTCCAGATACTCTCCTACTGTAAGTTTTAGCTTCTCAAATTTAAGAATTTGCTTCTTGATCTGCAAAATGAGAAAAAGTTCATCCAGGAAAATATTTGAGCTCTGGTTGTTTTTCTTAATGTGATTTATTTTTAGTTTTGTTTTCTTGTGTTTCAGCGGCACCAAGGTTCAGATTGCAGGTTATGGAGGATCAAAACTTGGCCTGTTTAACAAAAGAAGTGAGATGGATGTTTATGTTTTTCTTGTTGAAGAGCTGAAATAGGAAGTGCTGAAAAAACTGTAACCTTAGCCTGAAAATTCAAACCAACAAATTAGTCCTCCCCTGTATAGTGAGCAGGGTTTACACGAGCATTGATTGACAACACTAAGACCCTCCTCTTTGCTCTGATTGGGTGTTTTTGACCTGGACTGGTGCATTTCTGCAGATATCTAGGACAACAAGGAGGAAGTGGAGGAAATCAATGCTTCCATTGATTATCTGTCTCATATTTACCATGAGGACATAGTGACAGTTTTCATTAAAAAAAAAAAAAACTATTTGTACAAGTAACATACTGCAGTTTAATAACCACAGACAACAAGGTGATATTCTGAGCAAAATGTGACAACACTTAAATTGACCTAACATGTTTATGCTGCTTTTCATCTACAGTCCATCATCGTTCAGATGATCTGCAGTGTGCAGAGATTAAGATTGATAAACATCACAAGATGGAACTGCTCATGTCTAAACATGAGTTCTTTGAGTACAGTTTCCAGAAGTGGTACAGTGCACAAAGCTCTAAGAAGGACATATCTGAAGTACGTCAGTCTTTAAACCATTTTCTGCACAAAAACTCGGTGTCTATTTTATTGGATAAATCACAGCAGAATATAAACTGAAAGCTTTGTGTTTGTGACAGGGTGACAATGGTGGAGGATGGGTGTTCCAGGACAGGCTGTATGGAGTTTGTTCCTTCTCTGGACATCCGGAGTATGCACTCAGTGCACCAAGCGCTTTCATTGACATCTGTGGCTACAAGGATTGGATAGAAAAAACAATTCGTCAGCCAGAAGAAAGATTAATCTGAATTATGACTAAATGTTCCCAGCATAATAAAATTACAAAGTTCAAGTTAAATTTTACATTTAAATTTTCCAGTTGATTCATTTTGTGATTTGCAGCTGAATTATTAAGGGATTAAAGTTTGTGTACAAATTAATCTGTGACAATATCTTATTTCTCAATAAGTAAAGCTGCTGCTTGTAATAATCAAATATAATATCCACTGTCAAATGACTGGAAAATAAATGGCTATTTTCTGACCTGATTGATTGTCTGGTGCTTATTTCTGGTTATTACTGAAGAAAATAACAGAATTTAAAAGTTTTAGTTTTAGTTTTAAAGGCTGTTAAACTCATCATCAAAAACTAAAAACCTGCAGGTTTTCATCAAGCAGTTTAGAGAACAATGTTATCAGTTTCGCACCATCTGTGATTGGATCTTTTCTGGGAAATCCTGACAGTTTTGAACAAAACATTTTTAAATGATGAAATGAATTTCAGAAACTTTCCAAGAACAGTCATGAAAACCTTTTCAGAAATCAGACAATTGGGGTCAGGATAAAAAATTGGTCCCAGCATAATAAAGTTACAAAGTTAATTATTTTAATCAATTTTATAATTAAAATATATACTTGTAAAATTTTATATATATATATATATATATATATATATATATATATATATATATATATATATATATATATATATATATATATATATATATATATATATATATATATATATATATATAGCTGACTGGATAGCTCAATACATAAGGCATCAGTATATCACCCGAGAGGGCAGGGTTCGAATCCAGTCTGGGTCCTTAGGCAAGACCCTTCAAGCTACTGCCTACCTCATACCATGAGAGATACTAAGTTGCGTAACATGCCGGCTCAGACGTCGCCCGGCCAAACAAGGTCTGCGTCAGGTGTTGGGGAACCAGAGCACCTTGATGACAAATGGGCTACTGGAATAAGACGGAAATGGGCGAGAGATGAAAATGTGGATCTGTTGGAATGCTACTACTCAAGTAACCCTAGTGAGAGAGGTTACATGCAAAGACTGGGGAAGGAATGGTTACTTCGACATCCCCAGTCAACACTAAGCGCTAAACAACTAGTAGCTCAGTGTTCCAACATCCGCAAACGGCAACTGCTATCACAACTTGAGATTGACGAGATACAACACAAATGCTACGGCAAAAGGGAGGAACCCGGATGTCAGGACTGTGGGGACTTAACTACAAGTCCCCACCCAGTGAGGGGATACACAGAGAGAATCAACTGAAGACCATCAAAGGGTCCAAATTATCAGGATCTACAGCACTAACATTGGGATGTCATTCGGCTGATCACTGGTCGGCTGATTTCTGGACTGAGACATCTCAGTCCAGAAATGTGCAGCAGTCCTTGGCACAAGATACTGCAGGACCCTCAAGCTCCCAGGCCTCTGGTAGAGGACCATATATATAGATCTATATATATAGATAACCTCTGGTAGAGGACCCGAGCTCAGAGGGAATGAGAAGGCAATTTTTATACATATATATACAATTTTATAATTGTATATTATAAAATGTAATGATTATTATATTTTAGAATGATATAAAAAATATATCATTAAAAAGACTTTGTTTGTACTAAATGAATATGAAATATAAGTTACATATAGCTTGACTCAGATGTCACATAAACTCACAGTAAACTCATTTGCTACAGGGTGAAGTCAGCAGGGAGGCTAACAAGGTGCTAGCATTGCGGTTAGCATGGAGACTTGCAGGAGGTTAATACTAGGTGCCGACAGGCAATTTATTTCTTAGATTTTTAGTAAGCAAATATTTTGGCTGTAAAAATATTCATATATTTATTTTTTAAATTGAGGATTTAAGGAAAAAGTCAATTGTGGCCATTTTATTTTGCAACAAAGTTATGTGCTTCTGAAAAGCAAGTTTTATATTTAAATGTTTACATATATGAATTACAAACTGACCATGGTGGACAGAGTGACTTTCAAGTTCAATGCATTTCCACCGTCTGTCATGATGTCTGTGGTTGAAGTGTGGACCCAAATGCAGCAGGCAGGAGACGTAAAAGTTCTGATGTAGATGTAATTAAAAATCCAACTTACAAAAAACAACAAAGTCCAAAGAATAAAAATAAACCCAAACCAGGGAAAAGTAGAGACCATGAGGAAAGCAGGGAGAAAGGAAGAGGAGCAGTAGCAAGACGAAGCGGCGAGTGACAGTCTGTGATTTGACCAATTAGAGATGTGATTATATATTCATCTGCTGCTCATAATCATCTGTTTTTATTTGCTAAAAGTTAGTTTGGTGTAAAGAGGAGCTAAAATGCTAACAAAGATCAAGTTAAGGACAAACACACAGCGTATGAAAAAGAGAAACGCCTGTGATGTTACATTGTGAAAAACAGAAAGACTAATGGAACTAAAATGTCCTTCATAAAGGAAATTATGAATCTTGTAACTTTATAGACCAAAAATGTTACAAATGATTCATAAGGAACAGTCTGTAATGGACAAAAGGACTCTTTGTCTTTTCTCTATCTGTTTTATCTGCTCACGCGCACATGGCTGCACGCTGACATAACCATAGCAGTTCAGACTGGTGACAGTAACACATGAACAATAACAGATTAAGGAAGGCAAAACCTGAGAGAGAGCAGAATGAGGAGAAAATAAAGCAGGACTGGTGCTTCACTCTTGGTGTCCCCCTAAGGTGGGCTCAGTGGCCGGTGCTGGACGGTGAATATAACTCTGGTTCTGATCCATTTGGAAGACATGTACGGCTTGTAAAGTTTAATCATTTTCCGGCATTAAAGCCTGTTTTTTATATCACCAAATCTCATCATTTCTGAAGCTAATTTACACTGAGGGGTTCTGGTCAGGTACTTAAACGTGTTCAGGTGAATGAATGAACTCCAACAAATCCATTCCATACTGATCATACCGCCCATTTTCAAACATCTGTTATAGACAGCCAGCTGAGAACCCATGCATAGAAAAAATAAATGCCGTCAGTAGGTTGAATAAGTCATTGATCATAACGAGACTTTATTTTTTATTTTAGTTCAGATCAAACGTGAATACACATGCAATTTTATTTATAACCCCATAAAGAAAATGCAGTGAGCCAAGTGATGGCTGTACATAACTTTGCTTTCTGTACTGGGAAATGCTTCTTATAATTTGAGACGATGCAAATAAATAACCTTACAGACCATCTGCTTGGACAAATTTCTCAGTCAGATTTCATGTCAATAAATGGCTGAAACTTTATTTTACTAAACAATCTGAGACTTCAACTTGTTTCGGTTTTGGATACTAAATAAATATTTAACTTCATCCACATGAGAGCTTTTTGTCTGAACCGGACAGAACCGGACCGGAAGTTGAGGACTGGACTGGTTTCAGGGTTTCTTGCTCCAAAACTGAGCATGCGCAGTCGGCCTTCAGCAGTTTTGTTGTTCAGCCACCTGATGTCAGATCAGAACCGAGCCAGAACTCTAAACGTGAAGCTGTGGGAGCTGAATCGGTCCGAGAGGAGCAGCGGGAGGAAGAAGCGGCAGATGGTGGACAGAGGATCCGGGCGGAGCGGCGCGGAGAGGCGGAAGTAGCAGGAGGTGAGTCCGTTAGAAGCCGAACTGGTCCTGGTCTCCATGTCTATAAACGGCAAACAGGGAGATTTCTACCGGATGTCAGGGAAATGTGAACCTGCCGCTAGTTAGCTGAAGGTTTGCTGAGGAGGAAGAGCAGAAACCCGAGAGGTTCTGCTGGGTTGGTTCTGTAGCTCTGGCGCCAGAATTAGCTCGTGTTCGTCCCGTTAGAGGAGATTCACAACAAGCAGTTCCAGCAGAAAAACTCATGTTCTTCAGACTGAGCAGCGACCCCTGCTGGAGGGAACCGGCCTGCTCGGTTCTGTTGGCCCAGTTTGGACCTACTTTCAGGTGCTGGACAAATATGGACTAATGTTTCATTCGAGAATGTTCCGGCCTACAGAGAACATCTCGGTCCACTTAGTGGCCCACATCAGCACCGGACTTATGAGTGAACGGCTTGCAGCACGCATGCGCAGCAGCGGTCTGTTCATGACGGGAAAGATGGCCGCCGCCGTCTGTGGACGGAATGTGAAGTTGTTGAGGTCCATCACAGTTTCATCCCTGACTTTATCCAGCTCTGCGGCTTGAACTCGCTGCTCCTCTGAGGTTTGAAGGTTTGTCAGACTTCCATGAACAAGTATTGCTGTATTGGAAAATGATAGATGATAGAGTCGAGGGAGATGACCTGCCCCAAGTGGAGGAGTTCAAGTATCGGGATCTTGTTCACGAATGAGGGAAGAAGGGAGCGGGAGGTCGGCAGGCGGATTGGCGCAGCGTCCGCCGTGAAGCGGCGCTGTACCGGTCCGTCATGGTGAAGAAAGAGCTGAGTCAAAAAGCGAAGCTCTCGATTTACCGGTGTTATGCCGAGAAATGCATGCCTGCCGAGAATTGCATCCCCTGTCGCGGGAGCGCGCATCGCTCTAAACTCTCGCATATTGATGAGTAAACGGCTGAAATCCGACCGAAGAGGAAACTTTTAAAAATATTGGTAACATTATCACGTTTATTAATCATGTAAGCGCTAAAATTGTGGGTTTTATTTCGCAAATTAATTGAAATAAACACTGATTTTTTTCACGTTTATTGAGCCATATTTGTCGAACGTTCTTCAGTGTCTGATGAACAAGTTCTCCGCAGCTGCTTTGAAATTCCAAGATTTTTCTTTTAACACCATAATAGCTTAAAACTTTACAAAACCGAGGCCCAATCCCAATTACGTAGAACATTTTATATTACGCTTAGCTGTCTAGTGTATTAATGTAGGGGAGATGCATTTTAATTTCTGAGCCTGCTAATATTTGCATCCCTGTCTATTGTCCTGTTCATATGAAACTTATAGTGGTAACTCAGGGAACAAGTGTCATTATGTAGAAAAATGTAATTTCCAAGTTAGCAGGGGATGCAATTTTTGGCAATATGGATTTCTAGCTTGCCAAAATTTGCATCCCCCAAGTTTTCATCAAATATGATCCAAATGAGGTGAAACTCATACCAGCAGTTCTTACAACTACTCTGGTCATGTAGGACAAGTTATTTCACTCTTAACTCTTTATTTCTCAGAGTTAGCAGGGGGTGCAACTTTTGGCAATATGGATTTTCAGCTTGCCAAAAATTGCATCCCCTCTATTTTCATCAAATATTTTCAGAATGATATTAAACTAATACCAGTAGTTCAAAGAACTACTCTGGTCATGTAGAAAAACATATTTCACTCTTAACTCATTATTTTTCAGAGTTAGCAGGGGATGCAATTTTTGGCAATATGAATTTCAGGTTGCCAAAAATTGCATCCCCCCTGTTTTCATCAAATATGATCCATTTGAGATTAAACTCATACCAGCAGTTCTTAGAGCTACTCTGGTGATGTAGAAAAAGTTATTTCACTCTCAACTCTGTGTTTCTCCAAGTTAGCAGGGGGATGCATTTTCCGGCAATGTGGAATTTCAGGTTGCCAAAATCTGCATCCCCGCTATTGTCATCAAATATTGAATGCATCTGAGAATGTGCTCAAAATGAAAATTGTCAGAAAATGCATGTCCTGCAATTTGGAGAATTAGGATAGTAATGTGTTATATGAAATGTTCTAGACAATGACACGTATGCTCTGAGCTACTAGAGTGACTTTCAATCTGTATGACACTTTTGAGCTGAAAAAAAGGGCATGCAAATATCGGCAGCTCATAATTTGCTATGCCAAAAAATGCATCCCCCAAGCTTAAAAAAACAAACAGTTATGAGTGAAATAGCTTTTTCTATATAATCACATTTGTTCCCTCAATTGCTGGTATGAGTTTCATATCAATAGGATAACATTTGAGGAAAAAGGAGAGGGAAAGCATATTTTGGCAGGTTGATAATAGGCTGTGCCATAAAACGCATCCCCTGCTAACGTGTACAAATAAAAAATTAAGAGTGGAATAACATCTTCTGCATAAGAAGAATAGTTGTATGAGCTTCTGCTATGAGTTCCATGTTATTAGCATAACATTTGAGAAAAATAGAGAGGACATGCAAATTTTGGCAGGAGCAATTCCACATTGCCGGAAAATGCATCCCCCTGTTAACTTGGAGAAAACACAGAGTTGAGAGTGAAATAACTTTTTCTACATCACCAGAGTAGCTCTAAGAACTGCTGGTATGAGTTTCATCTCAATTGGATCATATTTGATGAAAACAGGGGGGATGCAATTTTTGGCAAGCTGAAAATCCATATTGCCAAAAATTGCACCCCCTGCTAACTCTGAAAAATAATGAGTTAAGAGTGAAATATGTTTTTCTACATGACCAGAGTAGTTCTTTGAACTACAGGTATTAGTTTAATATCATTTCAAAAATATTTGATGAAAACAGGGGGGATGCAATTTTTGGCAAGCTGAAAATCCATATTGCCAAAAATTGCATCCCCTGCTAACTTGGATAAATAACGAGTTAAGAGTGAAATAACCTTTTCTACATGACCAGAGTAGTTCTATGAACTACTGGAATTAATTTAATATCATTTCGAAAATATTTCATGAAAACAGGGGGGATGCAATTTTGGCAAGCTAGAAATCCATATTGCCAAAAGTTGCACCCCCTGCTAACTCTGAGAAATAAAGAGTTAAGAGTGAAATAACTTGTCCTACATGACCAGAGTAGTTGTAAGAACTGCTGGTATGAGTTTCACCTCAATTGGATCATATTTGATGAAAACTTGGGGGATGCAAATTTTGGCAAGCTAGAAATCCATATTGCCAAAAATTGCATCCCCTGCTAACTTGGAAATTACATTTTTTCTACATAATGACACTTGTTCCCTGAGTTACCACTATAAGTTTCATATGAACAGGACAATAGACAGGGAATGCAAATATTAGCAGGCTCAGAAATTAAAACGCATCTCCCCTACATTAATACACTAGACAGCTAAGCGTAATATAAAATGTTCTACGTAATTGGGATTGGGCCTCGGTTTTGTAAAGTTTTAAGCTATTATGGTGTTAAAAGAAAAATCTTGGAATTTCAAAGCAGCTGCGGAGAACTTGTTCATCAGACACTGAAGAACGTTCGACAAATATGGCTCAATAAACGTGAAAAAATCAGTGTTTATTTCAATTAATTTGCGAAATAAAACCCACAATTTTAGCGCTTACATGATTAATAAACGTGATAATGTTACTAATATCTTTAAAAGTTTCCTCTTCGGTCGGATTTCAGCCCGTTTACTCATCAATATGCGAGAGTTTAGAGCGATGCGCGCTCCCGCGACAGGGGATGCAATTCTCGGCAGGCATGCATTTCTCGGCATAACACCGGTCGATCTACGTTCCTACCCTCATCTATGGTCATGAACTTTGGGTCATGACCGAAAGAACGAGATCTCGGATACAAGCGGCTGAAATGAGTTTTCTCCGTAGGGTGGCTGGGCTCTCCCTTAGAGATGGGGTGAGAAGCTCGTCATCCGGGAGGGACTCAGAGTAGAGCCGCTGCTCCTCCACATCGAGAGGAGCCAGTTGGGGGCGCGACCCGACCTCGGATAAGCGGATGGATGGATGGATGGATGTGTGTGTGTGTGTGTGTGTGTGTGTGTGTGTGTGTCATAATTTGTCCTCAATCTGAACAATAATAGTTTTTGGTCTGTTATTAAATGGTAAAAATAGGAACGTTATTTTGTGTCTAACTGTTTTATTCTACACTTTCCCCTGCATTAATTTAATGTTTCTTCTTATTATTATTTGTATTATTTTTTCCTGTGTTGTATCTACATTGCCCACTCTGAAAAATGTAAGATCGCATTGTTTTTCATGCCCAAGTCTGCTGTAATAGTGACATTTGATGTATAAATTAATTGCAAAGAATGAATCACAATCGATCATTATTAAAATAATTGTCAATTAATTTAATAATCCGTTGATTAACTGGAGTATTCAGGCTCAAAAAAGTTTAGCTGAAAATGCAATATTCAGAGCAATAAATAAGCCAATATTGCATTTAAGATGAAAACTACTTTTTGAAACTATGATTTATCCAGACATCTTCAGGTGGCAGTTTTAACTTTACCAGGTTCAGATTCACCAATATGGAGTGAAAATTGTCTCAAAATACATGCAAAATACTTACTGGATTTGTAATCTTGTAAGGATCTTTGTGTGAAACTTTGGATAGTTTTACATGAGACACATGATTGTAAACCGTAAATCGAAAACTTATGTATAACTCTGGGTACTTGTACAAATGAGATCAATACAAAGTAAAAGTACACACATACAATTACAATTTCCACAAACATAAAATTTGTACACAGTTTTTTTTTTACTTCAACTTCACAAATCTGATAATTATGAATTCAGAGCTTCTCCTACTTCCACAAAGGTTAAATAAGTAACACAAGTTGCCTGATACACACAGACAAAACTGCATTTACGCACAGATCAGGTTACGATGCGTGAGGATTTTTGAGACTCATTTCACGCTTCAATCAGCCTCAGCTTTGTGCATAAGTGGTGCGTTAAATGCTGGTGGGAAGCTGGGTTATCTGATTTTTGCTCCGAGTCCAGTGTTTTCATCCTCTGAAAGTTTCTCACTGTGCGGAAAAAACGTTACGTTGGAAAACAAAATATTTCAAGACTTCTTTTCAATTCTGCAAAATTATTTATAGACATATTGTGCAATTTTGAGCAATACAGATGATATTATTGTTATTACATTTATTATTTTGAAGAATTGTATTATGTGTTTTATTTGCGTCTTTTAATTTGTTGTCTCTCTAATATTGATATGTCTTAAGTGGTTAATTGATAAATGTGCTAATAGTGTTTTTTTGATGTGTTTTTATTGATTATCAGGATAATAGAAAAACCAATTACTAAAATATTTGCTAGTTACAGTCGGGGATCCCGACCAACATGTCAACACCAGTTACAGTCCCAATTTGCATTATATGTGTAACATACCAACTGATGATGTAATTATCTTACATCATACCAGGGTTTGTTATTCTTGGTTTCACCTTAGATGCTCTAATTAATTAGCATTTTGAAATGCAGAGTGTTGAGGCAAACTGACTACTTGATGGTAATATATTAAAACAAACACAGAGTTCACGTTTAACAAGTTAGCAAGTTTAATATCTTTGTATGTACTGTGTACAAAACATGCAACCTATCACTTTCAAGTACGATCAAATGATGCTCTTGGGGGCCCCCTGGTGGCGTTGGGAGCCTAAGCAGCCGCTGGGCTCACATTGTCTTGGGCCGGCTCTGGTCGCAGCCTCGATTGGGTCGTGTTCTCCTGGAGCGGATGCAGCCTCACTGCTGATTTTACTGATGTTTGGTGTGTCTCAGGTGGAGACCTCTCTGCTCGTCATGGAGACAGCTGGAGACCCAGGAGATGTCCAGGTCCGGCAGGTAAAGCTCTGATCTCTGCTGTTCAAGTGGGACAGAGACAGGAAGTGGCTCCAGACCTGACGCTCTTCCTCCTCCTCTTCTTCCTCAGTGCGGGACCTGTGACGGCGCCTCGGCCTCCTGCTGGTGTGTGAACTGCAACGAAGCTCTGTGCGACGCCTGCCTGGCGGCGCACCGCCGGGTCACTTTGACCCGATCTCACAGAGTTCTGAACCGGCAGCCTGAAGGTCCGCCAGCCCGGTTCCTCCTGGTTTATGGCTCGTTCCCTCCAGACTTGCTGATGTTTCTGTTTCCTCCCCAGGACCCAGTTTGGTTTTTCCCATCAAGTTCTGCAGAATCCACCCGTCTGAGGAGCTGAAGCTGTTCTGCTTCAGCTGCTGCCAGCTCACCTGCAGGGACTGCCAGCTGGCGGACCACCAGAGCCACAGGTGCTCCTCCACCCTCCATCAAACTGGGAATGGAAGGAAAAGGCTGGGTTGTCAGGAGAGTAGCTGTCAGTAGCTTACCAGGAGTTGTCTTTCTGTCCAAAACGCAACAAACGAGTCAGGCTGGACAATAAATCAATAACAATATTTAGCTCAATAAACACGTGATCAATATCAATTGATAGTATGTGTGATAGAATATTCAATATATTGAATTTTCACTGAACTTTGGTCCAGAATGCACAGAATTCTGGGAGATGTAGGCAGAGGAATACTTCAGTTGCTCAATCTGTCATGGCTAGCTAAGCTAGCATGGTAGCTTGTCAACACCTGTTGATCATTCTTGTGATTAATGGAGTAATTGGATCAAATAATAATAAATCTAACATAACAGCAGAATTACTATTGTATATCAACATCAGTCCAGTTTTTCACAGTTGAGTTTCCTTAACAGTTATTTTTCTGTAGTTTTAGAAAATTAACTCGTAACAATAACAGCTCACTTTCTAAGTTGACCTGAAGAAAAGTTATATGAAAATATATTCAATTCAATAACAAAGAGGCAGGCTCACAAATGCGCTTATAAGATCAAAGGTCCAGCTTTTATTTTCTGTATTCATCTTCAGTCAACTTAATAGATGAACTCTGACCTTTCCCAGAATTTTAATAGCTTTTGTGTTTATGTTAGTGACGAGATTTAACTCCTTCATTCATCACACACAGAAACTCATCTCCCAGCTACGTGCCGCCACAACGTGCTCCGTTTGTTGAGACCAGGATGATATGAAATACATTTTCCGGTTCGTCTGTAAAGCTACACTTGCTTGAATCATCTAATGCGCAGCCGGCCTCAGTGTATCCGCTCACCTGCTTAACTACACCTGCAGGCTCTGAACCGCCACCAGGCAGCAGCTCTGGGAGGAGAAAAGCTGCCGTAGTCCAGGCATCTTCAGGATACTGATTGGTCCCCAGGAAAATGACGAAGACCCAGACATCATATCAATCAATAAAATCCCCATGGGCCGAACTTGAAAACCAGACATAATGCTGCTAACAGCTTTCATCAACGACTCAGAGGTGAAGTGAGAGCGCTGGGCAATGCAAGTAATAACCTGGTCGGAACACGGCGCATTAAATTATAAAACAAATTAACGAAGCTTCCTCGAGGATTTTAGTAATGGAGGGATTTTAGTAATGGAGGAACTCGAATCACTCATTGAATCGTTTCAGCCCTGGTCTGGTTGCATAGCAACAACCTGCACAACATGAAACTGTTGTGCAGCAACAGTTTCATGTTTTGCCCCAAAACTGCTTAAAAAAAAAACTGCATAGAGTGAAAACTGAGGATGAATCAGGCCTCCAGTTTGACAGGATTTCAGATATTTAAAACAAAAAACTAATCAATAATTAACATTTACTGATATGAAATGCTTACATTGTATGTTTTTTACCGATATTGTCCAGCCTGACAAAAATATCCATGAATGTCTCACAGCAGATACGTTTCTCCTCAACAGCAGCAAAGTGATGGAAATGAAAGCCAGTAGATTCACACAGATAGGAATCTGCAAAATTCATAAAAACAGAATAAGCAACAAAATGCTGCACAGCAATGTACTCAGTTCTGGTCCTCGCGTCCCCTGCCCTACACGTTTCTGCCACACACCTGGATTGAATATTTTGGTGATTAACATCTTTAATTTCCTAAGGGAGTCTTCCCAAGGGATCAATAAAGTACAAGTCTAAGTCTAAGGCTTCTGCAGGACCTGATGGTCATGCAATCATGTGAATAGAGGCTCATCTGAAACATGCAGACTGGAATTAAGCACTGCTGTACAGTAAGGGCAATATTTCATCAACACTGAGCTGTTATTATAACAGTCCAAAGAAACAGCCCACTGATTATTAAAACAAATTATTTACAATTAGTGACAATAAAAGCAGTGCAGAAACCAGCAGGGGAGTGAATATGTGGTTTGTTTTGCAGCAGTAATGCCGGGAGGAAGGATCTGCATGATGCTCCTCTTAGGGCTGAAATCATTCACCTACTAAACTACAAATAACATTTAGCATTTAAAAAACCTTGTATATTCTGCAAAGAGCTGTTTTAGCTAAAAGAAAACTGTCCTGTTGAGTTAATCCAAAAATAATCCCCAGATCAGCCTTCCACTGTACGGCTGTTAAGTCAACTAGAAAGGCCTAAACTGTTTTCAATGCTCAATCTTTCAAAAAAAATGAAAAAAAGAAGCTGAGTGCGTCATGACCTTTGACCTCTCCCTGGCCTGTCTAGGTTCGACTTTGTCAGCAAAGCGGTGGCAAGTGTGAAGAAGCAGCTGGACGCCTGCATGCAGCCATTCAGAGCGCAGATGGACGCGTCCAGGAAGAGCCTGCAGGACATGGAGGCCAGGTAGGGTTGCCTGGAGACCGTCCCCAGGATGAAGAGCAGCCTCCTCATCTCCTGCTGTCCAGAGCAGTTAGGAGGACGTGACGTCTCCAGGGGGCGCTGCAGGGCGGCAGGCCTGGGACGATGTCATTCAATTGACCCAATAAAATCCTCCGGAGAGCTAGCAGGTCTCCAGGTTCTAACCCGATCTGACCCGACTCGGCTTGATCCGGCGCTAAGCCCTGCTGTTGTGTCCAGGCTGGAGGTTCTGGCCCGCTGCGAGTCCTTCATGACCTCCAAGCTGCAGAAGCACGTCGACATGCTGATAGAGCTGCTGAAGAAAAGGTTTGATGACATCACCAGACAGATCCAGGTAACTCCACCCAGCCTGGTTCTACCTCCAGGAATCAGCTGCTTCCTGCTGGACCTCACGGTTTTGTTCCTGTGTGCAGGTCGTCTACAACGTGGAACGTAACCTGATCAGCAGGAAGATGGAGACTGTGAAGCAGCTGCAGCAGAGCCATGTCTCACTGACTGAAGCAGCAGAAAAGGCCAGAAACACCACCAACCTGCCCACCCTGGTGGGCTGCATATCCCAGGTACGACCCGCCCTCATCGCCTCCCTGACCGCGCCAAGCCACACAGACCAACCCAACGGCCCAGTCAAAGCCTCACTTTGAGGATTAGCTTTGTGACAGCAGGACAGGAAATGTTTGTTTCTGTTCCTCCGCGTCATGTAGCCTGATAGTTTGGTATATTTGATACAGAAAGCTGACTTTAAAGCTAACTAGAAAGTCAGCTTTGCTAACCCTATAGCTCTAATCATAAACATTAGCTTTGCTAATGCTGAAGTGTTACATTTAGTGGAAGCTAATGATAAATTGCTAACTACAACAGTCTTGATACCCTTCATGTGCCAATAACACAACATGTGCTACAACATAGAATATTATTAAATTCAAATCTGTTATGCACCATTAGGAAGCACCCTTCCTCTAATCGTCTAATAGCAGCTAATCTTCTGCTTAGTGCTTTTGTTCACTTTAAAAATGTTTAGCACACTTAGCTTCCCCTAAAATACTGACGCTCTAATTTACTTGGCTGTTTTGAAAACTTTCAGTTGAATAAAGTTCAATGTCTGTGTTAAAGTTTTGGTTATTGACTGTTAAAAATTCATCAAATATTCAGATGTTTATATTCACGCTCTTATTTTGAAATCTGTTTACAAAGCAGTTCTGTTTTCTCTTCTTTTTTTTTCTTACCAAGAAACTTTAATCAACAACTTAATTTAGGGGAAGCTAAGTGTGCTAAAAGTTGTCAATGTTAGCAAAAGTGCTAAGCTAAAATTTAGCTTTGCTAGTTAGCACACTAGCTGCAGGGATTCCTGGATGAACAGTCTTCCATTTTCCATCATTAATTTGTATTCAACACCTGAGATGTTGATGATATTAATTAGTTGGTTAATAAGTTAAATGAGTCATTAAACTCAAACATGGACGCTGTAACCAGGCGCGTTTCCTGTCCTGGCAGATCACCTCCCAGATGAAGGACCTGGTGGACGAGGACTCCCGTCCTCCTTCCAAGATGATCGACGTGAAGGTCACCACCAACAGAAACTCCGTGGAGGGAATCCTGAATTTCGGTAAGATTCGGATCGGATGTGGTTGATTTGGCTCGTCTGGATCTTTAATTTCTGTCTGATGAGAAGCAGAAATAAATAATTTTAAAACCAGCAGCAGAGATTCAGTGGATTCAGTTCTGGTTGTTGTTTAGATCAGGAGGTTATAAAAACCAAACATGTCCTCTGGATTCATTCATTCTGATTGAACTGAACCAGAACCAGCAGAACTGTGAATCAGTTCTGCTGGTTCTGGTTCACACAGAAAAATATCCAATCAGATCAATAAAAACATTTTGGACAGAAATGTTTGTGACTCAGTTCTGATCTGGACTCCATCTGCATGAATTACTGCATCAATGCGGCAAAGCGCAGAGGTTCTGTTGAAGTTCTGGAAGTCCAGCTTGCTTCGGATCTCTGGTTCTGGTGTCGCTCATTTTCCCCTTGGTGATACTTCATAGATTATCTGAGGTTCTGGTTCGGCCCATTTGCTGGCCCATAAAGCCCAATATTCCCAGGGGTATTAGACCAGTTTCTGGTACCGTTTGCACTTTGGGTCGGTACCAGGTCCTGCTGAAAAATGAAACAGATTCTCCGTGAAGCTGTAAAATGTTCTGGTAGAGGCTACGTTGGCTATTGGCTTCAGAGTCCCAGTGGACCAGAACCAGCAGACATGGTGACCCAGATCCTTCAGCAGGGTGGGTTCTGGTTCTGATCCACTCCATTCCTCCAGACTCTGGGATCATGAGGTCCTAGTGAAGTCAAAACTTCCACAGAAGTCCTTAAACCACCTGAAGTTTTGGTCCAGATGGTTCTGATTAGTCGGGTTCAGGAACTGGACTGCAGCAGCCCAGAGAATCCGTGGGTCGGACCTGGTTTTGTCTAGAGATTCTGACCTGTTGTTTCTGATTCCAGGTAAACTCCAGGTCGCCTGGATCCCCTTCTCCAGTCCACCATCCTCTTCCACCATGCGTCCTGCTCCGCCCACCTCCACCTGCCGACCCTTGACCTGCAGCACTGCCACTACCAACAGCGGTTCTGTTGGTGTTGCTGCTCCTCCAGCTGGCTCCACCAGCACCTTCATCAGAACTGGGTCTGGTACCGCTGCTTCCTCGGCTCCATCCGTCAGTATTAGCTGCTCTACTCCTCCACCCTACCCTTCCTCATCTGGGGACGCCATGATGGACTTCATAGTGAACAATAAGGCAGTTCTTCCTCTTAAGTCTTCTTCCGTCAGTAATCTGGACCCAAGCTGTGGTTCCTGGGGACCAGCCCAGATACCCAGGGTTCCCTCTTCGAACAACTCATTTCCAGTTCCTGCTTCCACCTCACTTCCTGTTTCTGGCTCGACATCACTTCCTGTTCTTTCTTCCACCTCACTTCCTGTTCCTGCTTCCATCTCACTTTCTGTTCCTGGCTCGACATCACTTTCTGTTTCTGGCTCGACATCACTTTCTGTTTCTGGCTTGACATCACTTCCTGTTCCTACTTTTACCTCAGTTCCTGTTCATGCTTCCACCTCACTTCCGGTTTCTGCTGCAGCCTCATTTTCTGTTCATGCTTTCGCTTCACTTCCTGTTCATGCTTTTGCCTCACTTCCTGTTCACGCTTTTGCCTCACTTCCTGTTCATGCTTTCACCTCACTTCCTGTTCATGCTTTCACCTCACTTCCTGTTTCTGCTTCCACCTCACTTCCCATTCCTGCTTCCACCTTACTTCCTGTTCCTGCTTCCACCTCACTTTCTGTTCCTGCTTTTACCTCAGTTCCTGCTTCTGTCTCACTTCCTGTCCATGCTTCCACCTCACTTCCTGTTTCTGCTTCCACCTCACTTCCTTTTCCTGCTTCCACCTCACTTTCTGTTCCAGATTTTACCTCAGTTCCTGCTTCTGTCTCACTTCCTGTTTCTGCTTCCACCTCACTTCCTGTTTCTGCTTCCACCTCACTTCCTGTTTCTGCTTCCACCTCACTTCCTGTTCCTGCTTCCACCTCACTTCCTGTTCCTGCTTCCACCTCACTTTCTGTTCCTGCTTTTACCTCAGTTCCTGCTTCTGTCTCACTTCCTGTCCATGCTTCCACCTCACTTCCTGTTTCTGCTTCCACCTCACTTCCTTTTCCTGCTTCCACCTCACTTTCTGTTCCAGATTTTACCTCAGTTTCCTGCTTCTGTCTCACTTCCTGTTTCTGCTTCCACCTCACTTCCTGTTCCTGCTTCCACCTCACTTCCTGTTCCTGCTTCCACCTCACTTTCTGTTCCTGCTTTTACCTCAGTTCCTGCTTCCACCTCACTTCCTGTTCCTGCTTCCACCTCACTTCCTGTTCCTGCTTCCACCTCACTTTCTGTTCCTGGCTCGACCTCACTTCCTGTGTCTGGCTCGACATCACTTCCTGTTCTTGCTTCCACCTCACTTCCTGTTCCTGTTTTTACCTCAGTTCCTGCTTCTGCCTCACTTCCTGTTCATGCTTCTGCCTCAAGTCCTCCTGTGGCTTCGACTTCACTTCCTGTTCCTGCGCCTGTTAAGTTCAGAGCCGCTCAGGACATTGAGGCCAGAACCCGTTCCTCTGGAGCCTCCTCAGTCAGTCGTCCTCTTCGTCTCCGGCCAGTCCGTCTCCAGCCAGTCCGTCTCCGGCCAGTCCGTCTCCTCCTTCCTCAGGTCCGGTTCATGGTCAGAGTTCATCCAGTTGCTCCTCTTCCTCGTTGACATCAGACGTTCAGCTCCAAACAACCACCACCAAAGGTCCTGAAAGGGTGGCAGACCGATCTGAAGGAGCAAAGCCTCCTGGGAAACGGGACATGGGGCCCTCCAGAGGTCAGGATTCTGCGGTCAGGATCAATGTTCTGACCAAGTCCCAGCTGGAGTCCAGCTCAGATAAACTGTTTGTCAAGTTTCAGTGGATGAAGAAGAAGAACTCTAAGTCTTCCAAGTCCAGCAGCTCTTTGCTACCCAGTTCTCCAAAAAGAAAGAGGTCACTCTCTGGGAAACAGCAGCTTCAGAGGATTCAGAACCAGCCTGGCAGTCCAGTCGGAAAACTCAACGCCAGGCTGGAGGCGTGGAGTCTTCGCCCTCCGTTCCTCCGTTCTCATCCACCAATCTGGTCTTCCCTAAGGTGGATTCCACAGCAGCTTCGCCTGCCAACATTCAGCCGATGGTACCTGCCACTGCCATTGGTTCTGGTTCCCCCTCTGCCGTCTCGGCCGGTCCTCAAACTCTTCCAGGGAATGACCCGTCTGTCTGGTGGAGTCCAGAGCTCCAGAACCTTCCTGAATCCAACAACCTGCAGCTCCTAGAATGTCTCATCTCCGAGGTGGGACGTCCTTCCTCTGCCTTGAAAGACCAGCAGCAGAATCCTGCTTCAAGGCAGACGGGCAAACGAAAGAAACCAAACAGACTGGAACAAGGTTCTTCAGCTGGAGTTGATCCACCATCAGAGTGCAGATCATCTGACCCAACCAGGACTGGAGCTTCGGACCAGGACCTCATTGTGGTGCTGTCAGACGACGAGTCGTTGCCTGACGTGTATGAGGTTCCACCCAGCGTTGAGGACGTCCAGTCGGTTCTTCCTCCAGTTACTGTTGGAGGTTCAGATGACGAGATCAGTATCGTTGAGCCCAAACCTCCCGGGGACGAGTCCAAAGCGAAAACATTTACATTTATAGAAAGGGACATCTTTGATGAACCAGCTTCACCGGCAGCGTCAGAGGACAGGATGTCCACTGCCTTGTCTGAAGTACCTGAACTGGGACTCAAACTGTCTTCCTCTGAAACATCTGATAGTGACGATGAAGACTTGCAGAGCATTAGGACTGAACAGCAGGACTACAGTCAGCTCCGCTGGCAGCCCACCGTGTCTCTGCTGAGACTTCCCCTGTCCCTACCCGGACATGGACGGCCCCTGCCTCGCTACCATTTCATCCTTGGAGAGAAGCAGGACGAGCTGTACCTGCAGGAGATGGAGGAGAACGATCAGGTTGGTTCGACATCGTAATGGACTCAAACGACAGTATCTGCTCAGATCAGGTCCTGTTATGTTTGTTGTTCTGCTGTCCCACAGTCCAGCAATGAGGACATCTCAGAATCATCACTGACCACGACTCTGATGTCACCGAAGACTTCACCATTCTTCACTCTACAGAGTCTCCACTGTCCCTGGAGGTCATTTCCTGTGCTGCTTGTGGAGCATCCAGTGCATCAAAGATCTGCACCGTCTGCGGTCGGGGTACCACAGAGACTGCCACGTCCCTCCGTTTGGACCGGACATCTGGTAGGACTTACCTTCATCTGCTGATGGAGCTGATCTTGAGTTTCTTGGTGCAATTTAGACGTAGCGTGACGTCATCTGCAGATCTATAATCCTAGAAACTATTTGGTGATTTAAGAAAAAAGTCTGAGCAGCCATCCCTGCAGTGAGCCACTGGATCTCTATCTGGAGCCTGGTTCAGATGTAGCATCTGGGCTGAAGAAGAGGACGTCATAAAAGTCCAATAAAGCTTTCTGCAACATCTGTGACCCCGGGGTCAACGCTGAACCCTGAAAACAGCGAGTGAGAACTTCCTTAAAAGCTTTAGTATTTAATCAGTGATGGTCAAAACTAACTGCACAGCTCATTGCGCTAGCACTAAACATAAATGTTAGTTCCACTAATGCTAAACAGTTATGTACACACAGTATTTAGCAAAGGCTAACTCTAAACAGCTACAGCAACAAGGTATCATCAGAAGCTACAGTAAGTAAGTCATCTCACCACCATGAGCTCCAACATCGTCGCCTCGTCTGGGTTTAAATTTATTATTATCAATCTATCGAGTTTTATTTGCATTGCATATTTCAGCAATAAGGCATTCTTTCAAAGAGATTTAAAAACACACAAAACACAAAGTCATGCAACAGAATCAAGATTCGAAACATTACATTTAATCAAGTGCCATCATTCATCATTAATCAATAACGTTTCAAAGGCATCTGAGTTTCTAGTCTAGATTAAAGGCACTCGGTGTTTTCAGTGAGTAGATTTATCCCATGTTCATGAAGAGGCTCTCGCCTCGTCCAAAGAGCTGAAAGAGCTGCCAATAGATCCAGAGGTCATCGCTGAGACGGCAGGACAGGTTTTAATCAGCCAGTTGTTTGTCATGTCCAGCCTGGAGTGACCAATATCTGGCTGATGAGTGGACACAGAGGACTGAGTTACATCAGGTGCAGAAGAAATCAGGCTCGTTTTCTTGGCATTGCAACAGCGACTGATTCCATTTACTTTATCTCCAACAATTAGCGCTTTTATCATACTTTTCTGTTTCATGGTGTTCAGTTTGGGCTGGGTGTGTTGGTTGACGTTTGAAGGTGAGGTTTCCCTCAGACAGGCTCAGACTGAAGTGCAGAAAGTCAGTTTTTCAGTGGGATTTCCACAGTCAGTGTTTTGGGCTGGTCGCTTCTTCAGTTCCAGCTGCTTGATTATTTCTCTTTGGTGGTTGAAGCTGAATGTGGGTTTTGGTTCAGAGCCGGCCAGGCTGAGTCGTCCAGGCGAGGAGTTCTCCCTGTTGGTCGTCTCACAGGATCTGCAGTGTGAGACTTTTGTTTCGGCTTGGCAGCCGGAGCCACCAGGCTGAGCTGCTCTGTGCGGAGCGTACCATCTCTCCCTGGATTTCAGGAAGTTGTTTCATTTCCACAGGCAGCGTTTATCTAAAACTGGTCATGGTTTTGAGCATTTGTAGAGTTGAATCTGGGTTGGTCTCCATATTCCTCTGCAGAATATTAACCTTTGCTTCTGTCGATTGGAGTCGTTTGCGTTTGTGGCGTCGGCCAGGAGCGTCTTGCCCTGGTTCAGCTTGGAAGTGGAAAAAGAAAGTAACAGTAAGAAACTCCCACATCATAATCCAGTTATGATGTCAGCAATGTAAATATTTTTGGTGAAAACTGAGGGAGAGCAGGGTGTGAGACTCACTGCACCCACATCTGTGGTTTTTGCTTCAGGAAGTGATTGTCAGCAGCAGACGACTCACCAGGTTTCAGTTTTTACCGTTGGATGTTGTTGGGTAAATCAGCACTTTAGAAGTTATCTGGAAAAATTAATTTAGGGGAAGCTAAATGGGCTAAGAGTTTTAAAAGTTAGCAAAAATGCTAACACAGCAAATGAACGATTAGCTTTGGTATTAGCGCATTAGCGGGTTAGTGAAGTGTGCCCACCACTGAATAAGAAAGTTCTTGATAGATGGGTCTGTCAAGAACTGGGTCGGGTCCAGATGGGCGGAGTTCCATGTTGTTGTTGACTCTCAAAGGTTTTCCCTGATCTCTGTCTTGCAGGTCAGAGCTGGTCTGCTCGCTCTGTCAGGACCTGTCAGACCCGTCGGACCCCTACAGCTCCGACAGACCCAAGAGTCCACACGGTTCTTCCCTCAGCCTGCATGACCAGCGGTCAGAACCCTGTAGACTTCACGGCGGGGTCATGTGCCCCGATCAGGTTGGGTTCTGGTTGTTTAAACCGGTTCTGTGTGTTTCAGAGATGTGAGACTCTCCTGCTGCACCTGAAGGTCAAAGGCTGCAGACACTTCTCTCAGGTCAGTTCTGGTGCCTGTCGGTTACAACCGGACCTCCAGTGTCCTTGGTGAAATAATCATTTTTAAAAATTGTATTTTATTCATGTTTTAACCTCTTCATGGCTGAAACACATTAAAAATATTCTAATTTGGAGAAAATTTCAAATCTTGTATTTTTCTTTTTCAAAACAGAAAAAACTATATATATGTAGGTTTTTATTTATTTATTTATATATTTTTTTCCGGATCATGAAGGACCATAGTTAAGTTGGTTCTTCAGCGCTATTACATTGAGTTCAGGCGCAGAAGACGACGTTGGAACTCAGACATGTAAATCTTTTTAAATAAAACCTTGAGGTTCAACACAAACTATTTATTTTTTCTTAATGTTTTTACGTTCATTGAAATTCCCCATCAAGCGGATGAACTTTGACTCGGAAGCCTTTATTCAACATGAATAAGTGTAAGAAAATAAACCTTGCATGAAAACAGTCGGGATGTTTTCAGCCAGAGGTTCTGGATTTTATCTAAGCCCGACCTGCAGATGGCGCTGTACGGACTCGTTGTCTCTGCTGTTGTTTCAGTTGGACCTCTGGTCTGACCTCATGCTCGTATCGGAGCGTCTGAGCCACCATCTCTCCCCTCCTTATCAAACGCCTGCGCAGGTCGTCTCGGACCTCTGGGGTTTGTTCAGCGACGCCTCACAGGTACGAACGACGAGCTGCAGCTTCAGAGCAGATAAACATGCTGACAGCAGAACCTTTGTGGGTCCAGCGGACTGGACCGTCGGGTTCTGTAGGTCTGATGGCCTGTCTCTGCCATTTCCAGGACGACGCTCTACTGGAGCTGCAGCAGAGCTTCCAGAAGAGGCTGGTGGAAACGCTGGGATCCCAACTTCCTCCCTCTCTGCTGGCGGCCCCGCCTCGCCGCGGCGCCCCCTTGCATCCGGGGGAGAACTTGCTGTCCGATTCACAAGTGAAGGTTCTGAAGAAGAGACTGAAGGACCTGCTGAAGGGTCCGGCTGCAGCCAAGAGGCCAAAGAACGTAAATCCTGAAGACCAGAAGCATCAGATGTGAAAAATTGAACTTATCCATCATCTGATATTCTGCAAGTTCTGCTTACTGGGCCAGCCCCAGCAACGTTTCTGAGTAACTGGTTTGAGTGGAACCGAACCGCTCTGGCGATGCGGGTCGGGTTCTGAGTGCCTTTAGGTTTGCTCTGTTTGCAGATCAGTTAGTTATTTATATGTGAAACTTCACAGCTTCTCTCAGGGAGTAAACTATGAAACTAATATTCAAACTAACAACTTTAAACCAAAAGTTTGTTTATTTTTCTGTTCTGAAATTATTTTGTACACATTTAGATTGAAAGTGTTTTTCAGTAGAAATGTTTGCTGATGAATCAGACTGAGCTGATTGTGACGATCCATTTATACGGATCCAGTAAAGTATTAAAACTGCCTTAAAAGCCAAAACTTTAGTTGAAGAATAAATATTTGTTGGTACAGCTGCACCTCATAGAAGCATTTCTGTTTCATGTATATCTGCAGTCCGTCGATGTGGAGAAGTGAAATGAAGTCACTGTGAACATCTTTCCACCTTTGACTCTGCGGCATAAAGAGATTATTTCAGATATTATTCTCCTTAATACGGAGAAACCAGCCTGGAAGTTGAAACCAGCCTGGAAGTTGAAACCAGTCTGGAAGTTGAAACCAGCCTGGAAGTTGAAACCAATCTGGAAGTTGAAACCAGTCTGGAAGTTGAAACCAGTCTGGAAGTTGAAACCAGTCTGGAGGTGGTAGGACAGCTTTCAGACTGTAACCACAGCAACATTGATGTAGTTCAGTTGAGATTGTAGGAAGTGTGAACAGCAGCCTCCATTTCCTCCTGCATCTCTAAGCTACATACGTTAGCATGCTAAGTGTGTTGTTTCCAGACTAAATATTTAGTTGGATACCTAAATATTTGATTTAAACTAAAATGTACTAAATAGTTAAGCTTAATATTTAGCTTCAGATTAAAGTTAAGCTCAATTTAGTTGGTGAGATTTAACTTCTAACTAGTTAGCAAGTTAAATATTGAGGTTGAACGTGCCCACATTTTTTAATTATTCTGACATGCTGAAAAACCCAAATTATTGCTGCTTTTTTGGCAGTAACTTTACCAACAGCACTGCCCGCGTACACCAGAGGGGAATCGAACATTTACTGGAGAGCATTCTGCTCTCTTCACAGAAACCAGACCAGGTTAAAAACTGACTGATGCTCAGTCTGACTGCTGATTGTTTAGCTTGAGAACAGAAACAATCATGATGAGACTTGAGTTCTGCCAACAGAGGGCAGCAGAGAGCTGTCTCATCTCACACCCATCAGTTCTGTTCATCAAACTGACCAACAGAATCTGTTTATAGACGCCATCAAACATTCAGGAATGGCTTTATACATGTGAAAGCTAGAATAACCGACCAGCTTCACTGGAAAACCAGGAAATAAATTCAGCAAACTGCAGTTCTCAAGTTGAGTCACCAGAGGGCAGCGCAGTGAAACCAGGGCTGGAAAAAAATTTAGTGACAATTTTTTTAAATGATAATTTATTAATTTGAAGATGTTGGTTTAACCCAGACAGATTTTTATTTATTGCATCTAACTGCAATCTTCACTGCTCACTCAACCAAAGCTGAGTTGGAAACTGTTATTTTATATCATTCAATGCAGAAACAAACAGCCACTGATTTCCACTGCGCAGCAGAAATATGTGAAAAACAAATGAGACACACAGCAGGGCGGTGCTCACAGACCTAAAACTCCACCCAGTCTGGCTTCATCTCAACATCTAAAGGACCAAACATCCTCCACTCAGACATCAGACAAGCCCAGTCCACCAATCAGAGCGGCTCCAGGCCGAGGCCACGCCCCGCCGCTGTATAAGAGGAGCCGACCTGCAGCCGGAGCTGCACGTCATTTACGTTCCCAGACAAACCAGATCCAGATCCGATTCCTGATGGTGGTGGAGGTGAACCAGCAGAGGGTGGAGGCCAACATCCTGCTGCTGGGGGCGCACAGCGTGGGCAAAACCGGTGAGGAAACCGTCATCTGTGCTTCTGTTACTGGGGAAAGTTCAGGGACGTCTTCCATGAACAACAGTTCAAGGGTTAAAAGATCTTTTACTGTTGGATTTGTTCCAAACCTGAGACTGAAGTGTTTTTATCATTTTAATGTTAAACTGTTTTTTCAGCTCTAACCGTCAGATTTCTAACCAGACGGTTCATCGGAGAGTACGGCGACATCGGTGAGACCTTCAGCTGATGTTCAGCACCAGTTCACATCCAGGCTGTTTTCAATCCATTTCTGGGTTTATTTATGATCATGTAAACGCGTCTTAATCTGCTTCCTGCTCTTAGAGTCGATTTACAGCCGAGTGGACCGAGTCGATGGTCAGGAAATCTGCATCAACATCTGGGACTCACAGGTACGGCCTTGCTGAAAGCAACATAAATAATCAGTGTCTTACCTGCATTACGATATCTTAATCTGGAGCCATAACTATTGTGATTTGAACACATTTCCATTACAAATGCGTACAAATCTTTCTCTATGTTTTGCTGATGTCGAAAAACATATTTGTGATTCTGGTGTTTCCTTTAAATAGGAAATGAAATTAAAATTATGTGTGAATAAGCTTTCAAAACAGAATAACTTTTTAAAGATCCTGGCATAATTCATAATTCAGCTGTGGCACAAATGCTCATTATCTATCAACCCATCAGAAGAGACGTGACAAGCCCCGCCTACTAGGGCATGAAATTGTAGTGGGCTGTTTTACAGAAGAGCTATGGATTCAAAATGTTTGAATGACAGGACTTTTTATGTCCTGTGTTTTTCTGAGACTTTGTCCAGAAAAACAAACTACAAACCAGGAAGAAGACGACTTCCTGTCATCTTCTTTGTTGTTTCCGCCAGTAGTAATGTCCAGCTGTTCATGTTTTTTTATGCCTGAAAAATCACCTCTTTCCTGCACAACAACTTGCGTTTTGAAATTCCATTAAGCAAATGTATTTTCACATTTTTCATTTCTGCAGTTCTATGGCTGACAGAAACGCAGCCAGAAATATTCAGTTTGGACAAAAGTCTGGTTTCTCTTCAGGCAGGCGGGAAAAGCTGCTCCATTAGTGACAAGCAGCTGCAGTGGGCTGACGGGATGGTCCTGGTCTACGACATCTGTGACCGCGCCAGCTTCCAGGTGGTCCGCCAGCAGCTGCAGCTGATCCGCCGCAGCAGGAAGATGTCGACGACGCCTGTCGTCATCGTGGGAAACAAACGGGACCTGCGGCACCGCCGCAGCGTCTCTGGCGAGGAGGGCCACCTGCTGGCTATGACGGAGCGCTGCGGCTTCTTCGAAGTGTCGGCGGCGGAGACGTACCACGGCGTGCTGCTGGTGTTCCACCGGCTGGTCGACCTGGTCAGGGAGACGCGGGCGCTGAGGAAGAGCATGGCGGGCGTCCGAGGCATCGTCCGGAGCGTGTCGGCGGTGTTCGGGAAGAAACGGGCCGATTGAATCGCCAGAGCGTTTTTACCGGTTTAGGTGAAACAGAAGCAAGACTTCCTGTCCGAGTCCTTCTGAGGCGAGCCGGGCTGGAAAAGGTTCAGAGAATGATTCTTTGTCTGAAAGTTGAAGTTGGAGACATAAGTTGTGTAGCAATAGGAAGCTGGAAATAGAAGCGTGGGTGGAGGAAGAGACGGAGGTTGGTTGAAGTTGTTCAGAGGAAGAAGGTGCTGCTCCAGACTGAGGACCGGCTGAACAGAATGAAGCTGATTTATTGGTGCTTGTTGTGTTTTAAAGAAACCACATCAATAAAAACAGCCATGAGCTCTGCAGGCAGCAGGTGGCGCTAGTTTCCAGTTGTTAAAGGGGTGGGAATGATATAACCCACAAGAATGTTGACGGATTCTGACTGCGATCAGCCGTAAATGTTTTCATGTTTGTTGTAAAAAATCAGTTTAAACCATGAATAAAATGAGTTTCCCATCTGGATCTGTGCTTTATTTCATCACATCTACAAATATTTTATTCACTCAGAAACATCCTGTCTGTGACTGAAGACTGACAACAAATAAAATCTGAAATATTTGAGCATATGAAGTAGAAATTTTAATTCATTCCACTAAGTTTCAACAAAAAACAACCTGCTATTTTCTCCAGCATGTTTTATTTCAGTTCATCTTCAAACTTCCTCTCAGCAGAAACATCTTCAGATTACACCTTTAAAGGTACATTTACTCAGTCCAAAATGTTGTAAACTTTAATATTTGATTTAATGGACATTTCATTTCTTAAAACTCTTACAAAGATCCCTGGTTCTACAGAGGAATCACTTCCATAAAAATCTCAGAGCCAGTGATGGGCACACAGCCGCTAACCTGCTAATGCTAATAGCAGAGCTCATTTTTAGCTTAGCGCTTTTCCCAACTTTGAAAACATTTAGCACACGACATCTGCTAAACGAAATAGATAAATTTCGATCAATAGATAAATTGATTGATGCTCAATCAATTTACTGATTGAGCATCAGTAAAGCTCAATCTGATGCTTTAGCATCTGATGCTTTAGCATCAGATTGAGCTGGATACTGTTTCTGAAGTGCTTTACTGTTAGCAGAACTAAGTTTCCATTCAGCAGTGCCCACCACTGGTTGGAGTTAATGTAAAGCATACTGAAATAAATACCGATAAATTCATATTAAAATTCTGACACAATGAATCCCAGAGATCAGAGGATCGGCTCGTCCCTCAAGCTTAAATTCTGCTTCTTATGAAAAACAACCAAGACTGAGGCTAACACTCCTGTTTGGATCTAGTTTTAAGATTTAGGAGGCGTCCCACCAGGCTGTGTACTCGGCCCACTTCTAATACTCTGATTCCATGATCCAGATAAGGATAGTAGAATAAAACAAGATTACTACAGCGATCCTCCATTGAGAAGCTACAGTCCTGTTGAAAATCCAGGTTTTATGAGTTTCGGCATTCAGACTTCTTGGGTTCAGAGCTAATATCATTTATAGTGAATAATAATCTAAGCTCTTCTAGTTGAATTTTTCTCATATTTGGGTATTTTAGCTAAAGCCAGTTTGCAGAAATGTCACAAAATATATCATACCTAAAAGAAAAAAAGTCAGGAAAAAGGTGCACAGAAATTAACAGTTTTACGTTTGACTCATCAACACCTGGACAGAAACTACGGAAGAGGATTAGGGCCAATAAAATACAAAACGAAAGATGACTTTTCACTCAGAATGTTGACATTAAGGCAGCAACCAGATTCAATGAGAAGCAAGTAAAGCAGAAGGAGATTTTACTGCCTGCAGGAACATGTCAGGTTCAAGTCATTGTTTTTATGAGGCTGAAAAACCAAAACATTCTGAGAGTTGTGAGAAAGAAATTCCCAAAAATCAGATTTCTGGATAAAAGTCCAAATTCTGACAAAAAATTGTTAAACTAAACTAGGTGATGAAAAATCCCCTAAAAAGATTTCTGATGAAGAAGATCAACATATGAAGATGCCACATGAAATGCATGATGGAAAAAACATTTCTGCTACAGAAAACATCTGAGCTAAAATCTACCAAATTTTCGTCGAGAACCAAGTTTCTGTTCTGATGAAACCAGAAACTCAAAAGCAGAACACGGTGGTGGCAGCATCATGACCTGGGGTTACGGTTCTTCTACAGTCAGTTTGAATCCAGGCCTTCAGGCCGGAGAGATGGTTAAGAAAATGTTTTTGATCATTTTTGTGCATCATAAAGAACCTGGTGCTTCAACAGGACTGGGTCCGTTTCTCCATCCACTGCAGAGAGCAGCTCATGATCGGGTTTTTCCGGTTTCTCTCGGTTTGTGTGAAGCAGAATTGCAGCGTCAGTGACTGAGCGCTAATTTGGTGACGCCTCTGCGGTTCAGTGCGAAGGCGCAAACCAGCACCAGCCGAGGCAGAGGTGCGTCGTCGGGGCATGCGGTGAACCGCGGCGCGCCGGGAGGCGGACTCGGCGGACCCGGCCCAGTCCGCGGGCGGTGGGTGTTTAAGAATCGTCTGTTTCCGTGAAGATGGCGGTGCCGTCGCTGGAGTTGGGGCTCAGATACTCCAAAGCCTTCTGGCTCTGGGCCACGAACTGTTTGAGCGGCGTAAGCAGCAGCTCGCTGGCGGACGGCCGGCGGAGCGCGTTGCCTTCGGACTGCAGGGCCGCGCCGTCCCTCTCCGGGGTGGACGGCTCCTTGGTGCTCGAGCGCCGCCCGTTGGGCGGGTCGGGACTCTGCGGGCCTCCGGCCGCCCGGGCGGCGCGCGAGTAGATGCTGCGACGGCGGCGAGGCCGGCCGTCCATGGCCTTGAGGAAGAGGCTGCTCGCTGAGCTGCGGCGCGACGAGCTGTCTGAGAAATCCTCCTTGTTCAGGAAATCCTCCACCTGCTGGCGCGACGGCTGCTGCAACTGGGACAGACAGAGCAGGAGTTAATGCTGCACCACCTGAGGACTGAGGCTTTGGGTCCAAACACCAGGACAAGAGACATGGACAACATCTCTGCAGTTAGTCAGCCTAGACAAACCGAGACAAACCGAGCCTGGAGAAAGTCATGAAGTTGCTTCTGTGTCCTCAACATCCTCGGGTCTGGGAATGATCTCCCTCCGAACCAGATCAAAATCCATTTGGTAGCACTCAGTTACAAAGCTAACCACTGTTAGCATTTCTAAAAACCAGGACAGTCTGCAGTCCATCAACACAGATATGGACTGCATGTTTGAGCTGTGTTTCCAGGTGTGTGTCTGGTGTGTTTCCAGGTGTGTGTCTGGTGTGTTTCCAGGTGTGTCTGGTGTGTTTCCAGGTGTGTGTCTGGTGTGTTTCCAGGTGTGTGTCTGGTGTGTTTTCAGGTGTGTGTCTGGTGTGTTTCCAGGTGTGTTTCCAGGTGTGTGTCTGGTGTGTTTCCAGGTGTGTGTCTGGTGTGTTTCCAGGTGTGTGGCTGGTGTGTTTCCAGGTGTGTGTCTGGTGTGTTTCCAGGTGTGTTTCCAGGTGTGTGTCTGGTGTGTTTCCAGGTGTGTGTCTGGTGTGTTTCCAGGTGTGTGTCTGGTGTGTTTCTAGGTGTGTGTCTGGTGTGTTTCCAGGTGTGTGTCTGGTGTGTTTCCAGGTGTGTTTCCAGGTGTGTGTCTGGTGTGTTTCCAGGTGTGTGTCTGGTGTGTTTCCAGGTGTGTGTCTGGTGTGTTTCCAGGTGTGTGTCTGGTGTGTTTCCAGGTGTGTGTCTGGTGTGTTTCCAGGTGTGTGTCTGGTGTGTTTCCAGGTGTGTGTCTGGTGTGTTTCCAGGTGTGTGTCTGGTGTGTTTCCAGGTGTGTGTCTGGTGTGTTTCCAGGTGTGTTTCCAGGTGTGTGTCTGGTGTGTTTCCAGGTGTGTGTCTGGTGTGTTTCCAGGTGTGTGTCTGGTGTGTTTCCAGGTTTGTGTCTGGTGTGTTTCCAGGTGTGTGTCTGGTGTGTTTCCAGGTGTGTGTCTGGTGTGTTTCCAGGTGTGTGTGTGGTGTGTTTCCAGGTGTGTGTCTGGTGTGTTTCCAGGTGTGTGTCTGGTGTGTTTCCAGGTGTGTGTCTGGTGTGTTTCCAGGTGTGTGTCTGGTGTGTTTCCAGGTGTGTTTCCAGGTGTGTGTCTGGTGTGTTTCCAGGTGTGTGTCTGGTGTGTTTCCAGGTGTGTGTCTGGTGTGTTTCCAGGTGTGTGTCTGGTGTGTTTCCAGGTGTGTGTCTGGTGTGTTTCCAGGTGTGTCTGGTGTGTTGCCAGGTGTGTGTCTGGTGTGTTTCCAGGTGTGTGTCTGGTGTGTTTCCAGGTGTGTGTTTGGTGTGTTTCCAGGTGTGTGTCTGGTGTGTTTCCAGGTGTGTGTCTGGTGTGTTTCCAGGTGTGTGTCTGGTGTGTTTCCAGGTGTGTGTCTGGTGTGTTTCCAGACACACCTGGAAACACACCTGGTGTGTTTCCAGGTGTGTTTCCAGGTGTGTGTCTGGTGTGTTTCCAGGTGTGTGTCTGGTGTGTTTCCAGGTGTGTGTGTGGTGTGTTTCCAGGTGTGTGTCTGGTGTGTTTCCAGGTGTGTCTGGTGTGTTGCCAGGTGTGTGTCTGGTGTGTTTCCAGGTGTGTGTCTGGTGTGTTTCCAGGTGTGTGTCTGGTGTGTTTCCAGGTGTGTGTCTGGTGTGTTTCCAGGTGTGTGTCTGGTGTGTTTCCAGGTGTGTTTCCAGGTGTGTGTCTGGTGTGTTTCCAGGTGTGTGTCTGGTGTGTTTCCAGGTGTGTGTCTGGTGTGTTTCCAGGTGTGTGTCTGGTGTGTTTCCAGGTGTGTTTCCAGGTGTGTTTCCAGGTGTGTGTCTGGTGTGTTTCCAGGTGTGTGTCTGGTGTGTTTCCAGGTGTGTTTCCAGGTGTGTGTCTGGTGTGTTTCCAGGTGTGTGTCTGGTGTGTTTCCAGGTGTGTGTCTGGTGTGTTTCCAGGTGTGTGTCTGGTGTGTTTCCAGGTGTGTGTCTGGTGTGTTTCCAGGTGTGTCTGGTGTGTTGCCAGGTGTGTGTCTGGTGTGTTTCCAGGTGTGTGTCTGGTGTGTTTCCAGGTGTGTGTCTGGTGTGTTTCCAGGTGTGTGTCTGGTGTGTTTCCAGGTGTGTGTCTGGTGTGTTTCCAGGTGTGTTTCCAGGTGTGTGTCTGGTGTGTTTCCAGGTGTGTGTCTGGTGTGTTTCCAGGTGTGTGTCTGGTGTGTTTCCAGGTGTGTGTCTGGTGTGTTTCCAGGTGTGTTTCCAGGTGTGTGTCTGGTGTGTTTCCAGGTGTGTGTCTGGTGTGTTTCCAGGTGTGTGTCTGGTGTGTTTCCAGGTGTGTTTCCAGGTGTGTGTCTGGTGTGTTTCCAGGTGTGTTTCCAGGTGTGTGTCTGGTGTGTTTCCAGGTGTGTGTCTGGTGTGTTTCCAGGTGTGTGTCTGGTGTGTTTCCAGGTGTGTCTGGTGTGTTGCCAGGTGTGTGTCTGGTGTGTTTCCAGGTGTGTGTCTGGTGTGTTTCCAGGTGTGTGTCTGGTGTGTTTCCAGGTGTGTGTCTGGTGTGTTTCCAGGTGTGTGTCTGGTGTGTTTCCAGGTGTGTTTCCAGGTGTGTGTCTGGTGTGTTTCCAGGTGTGTGTCTGGTGTGTTTCCAGGTGTGTGTCTGGTGTGTTTCCAGGTGTGTGTCTGGTGTGTTTCCAGGTGTGTTTCCAGGTGTGTGTCTGGTGTGTTTCCAGGTGTGTGTCTGGTGTGTTTCCAGGTGTGTGTCTGGTGTGTTTCCAGGTGTGTTTCCAGGTGTGTGTCTGGTGTGTTTCCAGGTGTGTGTCTGGTGTGTTTCCAGGTGTGTGTCTGGTGTGTTTCCAGGTGTGTGTCTGGTGTGTTTCCAGGTGTGTGTCTGGTGTGTTTCCAGGTGTGTTTCCAGGTGTGTGGGTGTGTTTCCAGGTGTGTGTCTGGTGTGTTTCCAGGTGTGTGTCTGGTGTGTTTCCAGGTGTGTGTCTGGTGTGTTTCCAGGTGTGTGTCTGGTGTGTTTCCAGGTGTGTGTCTGGTGTGTTTCCAGGTGTGTTTCCAGGTGTGTGTCTGGTGTGTTTCCAGGTGTGTGTCTGGTGTGTTTCTAGGTGTGTGTCTGGTGTGTTTCCAGGTGTGTGTCTGGTGTGTTTCCAGGTGTGTGTCTGGTGTGTTTCCAGGTGTGTGTCTGGTGTGTTTCCAGGTGTGTGTCTGCTCTGTTTCCAGGTGTGTGTCTGGTGTGTTTCCAGGTGTGTTAGGCGTACCATGCTGTAGAGCGGCGTGGTGTTGATTGCGAACTGCAGCAGGATCTTGGAAAGCTGCTGCAGGTCCTGGAGCAGCTGCTGGATCTGAACCGGCAGTTCTCGGACCTGCCGAACTGGGCTCACCTCGGCCAACATGGCCGCTCGCTCCACCAGTTCCCTCAGTGCGGCCTCTCTCAGGCTCTCTGTGCGGAACAACAGCGCCACCAGGAGGCTCTGGAAGTACTGCAGCACCTCACCTGTTAACTCCAGGACCCGAGTCAGACCCACCTGCAGGAACCAAATAAGTTAGACGATTTACTCTGCTTTCTGTCCTGATAGACATCAAAATGCATCTTGGGAAATGTAGTTTAGTTACCTAAAAATCTTTAAAGGAACAAAAATATAATTTCTTTTCACTTATTTGGTAGTAATTAAAACAAAACTAGCTGAAAAGGTTGAACAGATTGAGGATCTATGAAAAGATGAGTTTAATAAAAAATTTAAACAGTTATACTTGGAATAAAAATCTGATTTAATGAAGCTTTTATTATTTTATTGATCCTAAAACAAAGAAAGTCGATCAGAGGAAACGATGGGATTGTAAAGTGACAGAGTCAAAATGATTAGTTTGTTATCTGATATTTAGTTTGACGCTAAATATTTAGCTAGCAAGCTAAAGACTGTTGTGTGTTCTGTGGGTTTGCGTGTGACCCGACAGACTCGCTTCATATTTGTGTGCCAGAAAACACAAAGCTGAGCTCTGATTGGGTTCATCGGACCCGTCAGCTATCTGGATCAGCTGTAAACGCTTATCCTGATGATCCGTGCGGTTCTGATCCGAGGCCAGTTTCCCAGAAGGCGCGTGAGGAAAAGACCTGGACCGGAACCAAGTCCCAGCTGGCAGCGGATCCCGACACGTGAGGACAGCAGAGGACGACGCTCCGCAGGAGGGACGGGGACAACAATGGATTCTTCTGTCACAAAGGTCCAGGAACGGATCCAGAACGCTCCTGACATGAAGCATGATGGGAAATATTAACGCCACTCAGCTCTGAGTGTCACAGAAAAAACTTAAGATACAAGTCGCCTGATTAACACGGAGCCAGAGTGGAATGGGAAGGTCAAAGGTCATCTCCACACCACCTGAAGTCCAACATCTTTCAGAGAGGAAAAATGATTCAGCACAAGAATTTGAGAAAGAAGGTCAAAGGTCATGAAGCTCATCCAGTATGGCTGCTTGGGTTTTCTAGAAACAAGATGGCCGCCAGACTGCGGTTAGTAATGCGGCACCTGGACAGACTGGGACAATGTCCCCTGGACAGAGTGGACACGATGGACAGGACCAGGCAGCTGGAGGTCCTGCCGGATCACACGGGCTTTTGGACCTGAAGGTTTCCTCTGCTGATGGCCGGGTCGGTTCTGGGACACTCCCCGGGCCTTGCTCGGGTATTTGGGTCGCAGCGAGGCAGCGGACCGGGACCTCTGACTTGCTGACACACAATCAAACGACACGAAACAAGAACAGGAGCGGCATGTTGCTGTGCTGATTGGACCTCGTTAGCGGAGCAGCATCCTGCTGTTCTTCCTCTACAGAAACGTGAGCAGAACAATGGATCCATCTGGAGCCAAGTCAGAACCAGAACCGTCTCACTGGATCGCTGATGAAAGAACCCGTTTGATCCATCATGTGTTGTTTTTCTGTTGATCTCCAGCTGATAAACGCTTGATTATTTTTTTATTGTGCCGTCTGATCCATCATCCATCCATCATCCATCATCCATCCATCATCCATCATCTATCCATCATCCATCATCTATCCATCATCTATCCATCATCCATCCATCCATCCATCATCCATCCATCATCCATCCATCCATCCATCCATCCATCCATCATCCATCCATCCATCCATCCATCATCCATCCATCATCCATCATCTATCCATCATCTATCCATCATCCATCCATCATCCATCCATCATCCATCCATCATCCATCATCTATCCATCATCCATCCATCATCCATCCATCCATCCATCATCCATCATCCATCCATCATCCATCATCTATCCATCATCCATCATCTATCCATCATCCATCCATCCATCATCCATCCATCCATCATCCATCCATCCATCATCCATCATCTATCCATCATCCATCATCTATCCATCATCCATCCCATCATCCATCCATCCATCATCCATCCATCCATCCATCCATCATCCATCATCTATCCATCATCCATCCATCCATCATCCATCCATCATCCATCCATCCATCATCCATCCATCATCCATCATCTATCCATCATCCATCCATCATCCATCCATCATCCATCCATCATCCATCCATCCATCATCCATCCATCCATCCATCATCCATCCATCCATCCATCATCCATCCATCATCCATCATCTATCCATCATCCATCATCTATCCATCATCCATCCATCCATCATCCATCCATCATCCATCCATCATCCATCCATCCATCATCCATCATCCATCCATCATCCATCCATCATCCATCCATCCATCCATCATCCATCATCCATCCATCCATCCATCCATCATCCATCCATCCATCCATCATCCATCCATCATCTATCCATCATCCATCCATCAACCATCCATCCATCATCCATCCATCCATCCATCATCCATCCATCCATCATCCATCCATCATCCATCCTCCATCCATCATCCATCCATCCATCCATCCATCCATCCATCTCCATCCCATCCATCCATCCATCCATCCATCCATCTATCCATCATCCATCCATCAACCATCCATCACCATCCATCCATCCATCCATCCATCATCCATCCATCACCATCCATCCATCCATCCATCCATCATCCATCCATCCATCCATCCATCATCCATCATCCATCCATCATCCATCCATCATCCATCCATCCATCCATCCATCCATCATCCATCCATCATCCATCCATCATCCATCCATCCATCCATCATCATCCATCATCCATCCATCATCCATCCATTCATCCATCATCCATCCATCATCCATCCATCATCCATCCATCCATCATCCATCCATCCATCCATCCATCATCCATCCATATCCATTCCATCCATCATCCATCCATCCATCATCCATCCATCCATCATCCATCATCCATCATCCATCCATCATCCATCATCATCCATCCATCCATCATCCATCCATCCATCATCCATCCATCCATCATCCATCCATCCATCATCCATCCATCATCCATCCATCATCCATCCATCATCCATCCATCCATCCATCATCCATCCATCATCCATCCATCCATCATCATCCATCATCCATCCATCCATCCATCCATCCTCCATCCATCCATCATCCATCCATCATCCATCCATCCATCCATCATCCATCCATCCATCATTCATCCATCCATCCATCCATCATCCATCCATCCATCCATCATCATCCATCCATCATCCATCCATCCATCCATCATCCATCCATCCATCCATCCATCCATCATCCATCCATCCATCATCATCTATCCATCATCATCATCTATCCATCATCCATCCATCCATCATCCATCCATCATCCATCCATCATCCATCCATCCATCATCCATCATCCATCCATCATCCATCATCTTCCATCCATCATCCATCCATCCATCCATCATCCATCATCCATCCATCCATCCATCATCCATCCATCCATCCATCATCCATCCATCATCTATCCATCATCCATCCATCAACCATCCATCCATCATCCATCCATCCATCATCCATCCATCCATCTCCATCCATCATCCATCCTCCATCCATCCATCCATCCATCCATCAACCATCCATCCATCCATCCATCATCCATCTATCCATCATCCATCCATCAACCATCCATCAACATCCATCATCCATCCATCCATCCATCCATCATCCATCATCAACCATCCATCCATCCATCCATCCATCCATCATCCATCCATCCATCCATCCATCCATCATCCATCCATCATCCATCATCATCCATCCATCCATCCATCCATCATCCATCCATCATCCATCCATCATCCATCCATCATCCATCCATCCATCCATCCATCATCCATCCATCATCCATCCATCATCCATCCATTCATCCATCATCCATCCATCATCCATCCATCATCCATCCATCCATCATCCATCCATCCATCCATCATCATCCATCCATCATCCATCCATCCTCATCCATCCATCCATCCATCATCCATCCATCCCATCATCCATCATCCATCATCCATCCATCATCATCCATCATCCATCCATCATCCATCCATCCATCATCCATCCATCCATCCATCATCCATCCATCATCCATCCATCATCCATCCATCATCCATCCATCATCCATCCATCCATCATCCATCATCCATCCATCCATCCATCATCCATCCATCATCCATCCATCATCCATCCATCATCCATCCATCCATCCTCCATCCATCCATCATCCATCCATCATCCATCCATCCATCCATCATCCATCCATCCATCATTCATCCATCCATCCATCCATCATCCATCCATCCATCCATCATCCATCCATCCATCCATCATCCATCCATCCATCATTCATCCATCCATCCATCCTCATCCATCCATCCATCCATCATCCATCCATCCATCATTCATCCATCCATCCATCCCATCCATCCATCCATCCATCATTCATCCATCCATCCATCCATCCATCATCCATCCATCCATCATCCATCCATCATCTATCCATCATCCATCCATCATCGATCCATCATCCATCCATCATCCATCCATCATCCATCCATCATCCATCCATCCATCCATCCATCATCCATCCATCATCTATCCATCATCCATCCATCATCCATCCATCATCCATCCATCATCCATCATCTATCCATCATTCATCCATCCATCCATCCATCCATCATTCATCATCCATCATCCATCCATCCATCATCCATCCATCCATCCATCATCCATCATCCATCCATCCATCATCCATCCATCATCCATCATCCATCCATCATCCATCCATCCATCATCCATCCATCATCCCTCCATCCATCCATCCATCATCCATCCATCATCCATCCATCCATCCATCATCCATCCATCATCCATCCATCATCCATCCATCCATCATCCATCCATCATCCATCCATCCATCCATCATCCATCCATCCATCATCCATCATCCATCATCCATCCATCCATCATCCATCCATCCATCCATCATCCATCCATATCCATCCATCATCTATCCATCATCCATCCAT